TAGCTAATTCATTTCACAAGTGATGAAAGAAAGAATTAATGTTTTGTGCTCCCCATACAGGATGTCTTTTGTGGCATTTATTAAATTCTATCATATCACATGATGTCATAAGTGTTACTTCTGTTTTACAGATTAATGTGGAACACATAATCTGGTTGCCCCAAAGTAACTGAACGAACCAGTGGCACTGAGAATCATCTATCTCGGTGTTCATTCCACCTCACTTCTACATCTTACTCTCTACTCAGATATGTCCGTTCTCTCTTTACACAACAGAGAGCTAAGCAGTGCCATCCTGGAAGTTGCAATCATGCTTTTAAGAGCATATATACCAATTAACAAAGAAAATACACTAGAAACACAGCTACTCCCTAAAGAATACAAGATTCAAATACTACAGTCCCTCTCTTCATTCTACACTGTCATCACCTCATAAGAGATTTCTACCAGTGTGAAGCGCGTGTGAAATACCAGCATTCTGACCAGACGCCGGATTAGATTACATGAGAGGCAACGTCTCAGTGTGAGCGAGACCAGCCCTGTACGCTCACACGCCGCGTGTGGCAGCGCAGCACTCCAACTCTACATTGCAGCACATTTTAGACCTTGGAGCACTCTGTTAAACAGAAAATTACTTGTAAAAGTTAACTTTAAGAAGCTTGGCATGTTCCATAATAGTATTACTTCAGGCTTCAAAATACAGCTGTTACAGTTCATTAAATAGCATAGCAAAAATCCCTGCAACATAACTAAAATTCTAAGCCAGGGGTCTTCACTAGCTTTCCTGCTTCCTGCAGCTGGGCATGTGACAGATGCGATTCACATCACTTGCGCACTCCCATTCCACATAGAAAAGAACAGATCAAAAACCCTGAATAAGGCTATAGCCACTGAAAAATTCGAAATATGTCCTTGCCATTCAGCCGGCTGACCGCTAGCTGTCCCCATTGCTTCACAGGAGTGCAGGATCAGCGCTGGAACGGGAACGAAACATCTCTCCAAAAATGAGTGCTGCTATTTGGGGGGGGGAAGAAAGTTCAGAAAAATTAAAACGAGCTACTACAGTTCTGTAAGTCTGTAGATAAGAAAATGGATGTGTAGGAGAAGGCCTCCATCCCAGGCCAGTGATGTGGTTACTGCCCGAGACAGACCAGCATGAAAAGCTCCGCATACGATCTCAGCAGGTCTGTGGCCTTACGACATGACCAAGGTAAGCCCTGGAGACCCATTCATGCAGCAGAACAAGGATAATCAAAGTTGACTGGAGCAGCCCAATGTGCCCACCTAGTCTCTGACCACAGCCATCACATCATCATCTGCAGCATCTGATAAAAGCACCTTAAGAGATGTTTTCCCAACTAGCATCTATGGTGGATGCTACTTCCTAACCTCAGCACATACAAAGTACGCAAATTTAGAACTGCAAAAATGTATATCAGAGGCTATAAGTGAAGGTGTTTGAGGCTTATCTCAAAAGCATAGAGTTCTTTCCTCTCTTGAGAATTCAGGACAATTTTTCATTTCCATTAATCTTTCGGCTTCTCAACAGGAGCCCAAAATGCAGAATGGTCACTATATGTATTAGATCTACAAGATTTTGGATTTGGTCTCTTCAAAAATAGGAGAAATGTCGTTTCACATTGACAATGGCTGGTTTTTATTATTTAGCAAAATAATAACAGAAGTGAAATGCAACTTCTAAAATTTCACAAAGTTGGAGAGGAAGAGTTCAGAATTCAAAATATATTGGCAATTTTCTTCAAAATGGGCTAAAATCCTGAACCAAAACTCCTGTTTCAAATCTACAATTTAGTTCCAAATTCTGAATTTTGCTGTATGCAGTATCAGTGTACACAAAAATGTTGGGCATCTGATGTGCCACTAGCTACCTACTGAATGCCTGTATGAAGTGAACTATGACTTTTTCACATACGAATGCACAGTATTAGTGCATTCTAACAGACTTAAAGCTTTATTCACCAAAATAAGTAGCTCCAAATACTGTACTCGGGTAGTACCATGTACCAACACTTCACAGACGTAACAACTGACTGAAGAAACTTCTGAATTTTTTTTCCAGAAGAAGCTTTGACTGAAGAATGGCATATTTATAAAGGATTGAGTATACATATAGACTGATCTCCTCGAGATGGCACCTGTTACTAATACATATTCTTGCTAGAAAGTATGAAAAGCAACTCAAATCCAAGTCCCTTTACGCTTTGTGTTTGAGAACCTATGAAAACTTTTAGTTTTAAACGAACCATATCAGCATGTGATTATTCACATACATCCACCAGTTAAAAACATCTAGGATTAAAGTCTGTGGTTCAACTAGTAGGTTAGATTCAAATCAATACAAATTTTAAAAACTCGGAGTAACTGAAAACAAATTACAGCTTGCTGAAATCAGACCAACTTAGGGTACGTGGGAATTCAAAGGAAGCAGTTTCCTGCTTCGTGGTCACAGCACGTGGCCAGAGGAGTAAAGTACTGTGGGTTTAACAATCATATATTGTAAAGTACTTTCTTTAAGCAGTATGGAGCAAGGAAAACTGTCTCCATCCATGTCAATATATACACCTATTAGCTGATTAAGTATTTTTATGTGGCAATTACTATTTTTTCCTAATAAATACAAATAAATACTATTTTACTACTTTCATTAGCTTCATGAACCAAATTATACCGTTATGATAAAAAGGATCAGCCACAATGTTGCACTAGGATAGAGAAGGAATGCATGACTCTAGTCTGGTGTATCTAACACCCCTGAACGCTGAGGAAGGGCAGATCACGACCCAAACTGCGCAGTGAGACCCAGCCCTTCTGCAGTGTTCCGTGCTGTTGGTGTATTAGGTAGTTAAGGCCTGCAGGAAAAGTTTCATCGATAATAATGAGAACGTTTTCCAGACAGCTGGAGGGCTACAACTAATGCTACTGTAAAAGACCAAATGCCGCGTCTTCCTCTGGCTGATTTATTGGTACACCTGCGTTCAGGAGAGGTACAGAAATGCCTAAAAGGACAAGTCTTCAACAGTTTTGAAGAGGAGGAAAGGAAATTGAAATCAAGTTACAACAAAAAGCCATAAAGAATCTTTCTTTGTAACTATTTCAATACAGTTCTGTACGTTTCTGGAGAGCTACCATGCAACCACACTGCTCTAAATGATTAAGGGAGTGAAACATTCAAGTAAAAAAATTTTTTTTAAAAAAGGCATATGTATAGATCATGGTACATTTAAATCCCACTGCATTGGTAAATACAGACACAGGCTGTCTAGAGACACCTAATTTGTAAGTAGACAAATATGATTTATTTTGCTGATACAGGAAAATCAAGCTGTTCAGATACCTGATGTACTGATTATTGACTTCCCTACATTTGAGGAGTCCATACCAGCAGCTACACTTGGTCATTCTGAATGGGCAGCTGTCACAGATGTGTAAATTGCAACTGAATAAGCTCCCATGTGCAAGCAGAAGAAGCAGTTTCTGCCAACTTCCCCCCACCTAATGATTTTTAAAATTCCTTTCCAAAATGATGCTGGCAAAACATCATACTCCAAAAACTCACAAGAAACAAGATGTAAAAGAGTGCAAGTTTTACCACAGTGCGCAGCAGGAAAATCTTAAACTCAGAGAAGGTAGCCTGTGCTTCTCCACATAGCCCTCAAATTAACAGTCAAAAAAGGTTTTTCCACAACTACAGCTACAAACCGTCTAGTGAAGACAGCCTAAGGACACCGTTCTCTCACAAAAGGAAACCACGATGTTGTCAGGTGTGCGAAGTCATTCTTTCCTCCTGAGAACCAGAGGGAGGAACCTGCAAGCTTAAATAGTGTTTAAGTGTAAAAGACCCTCAAAGAAAAAATACACCTCTGAACAAAGAAAAAACTCATTATACTTTGCACCTGTTTAAGAAAAAAATCCTTTTAACAAGTTGGTTCATTAATACAGGTGCAATTAAGTATCACATCATTAAAGGAACAGGAATGAAAACAGAGTAAATTCTCATTAAGAGACAATGCTAAGGTTTCTATCTTAAAAAAAAAAAAATCAACACTCTCTCTCCTTACTCCTGCTTCTAGATAATCTCATAGGAATTTGTTACTTACAAACACAGGATTGCTCCTGAAAGTTAGGAAACTTTTTTTTGAGCTAAAAAGCTAGAATTTGTTCCCATATTTCTAAGAAAAGGTGTTACTTCTTGTGAACAAGCACAGCAATGAGAACAGAAAAACCTTCAGGGAAAACTACCACTCATTTCAATATCACAAACAAGACAAGAAGCATAGGGAAAGTGACAAATTTTGCATTCTGTCAATAACAGATTCTCGTTCTGTTAACATTGTAAGTTAGAACAGAGAAACTTCAATCACTGTGGCAAGCAGCCAGCTCATGAATAGGCTTGCTAACATCAACAAGACTATTCGTATGAACAAATGCTCAAAATGACTATGAGACTTCTTGTATATCCTTTGTAATGTTAAAATCAGTAGGATTACTGTGGTTTCTAAGTGCTCTCCCACATGGACTAAGAGCTGGAGTCAAGAGGATTGCTCATGTGAGAAACTGTAAGAACTGCAGCTAAAGACTGAACTGGTCCTTTGTTTTCAGTTTTAAAAAAATATATACATAAAGCACATAAAAGAACTACTGGACTAGCAGATACCAGGCTTTAACTATAACCTAGTGCCTGAAGTTAGATTCCAACACGTACTGACCAAGAGAAGTACTACTGTTACTGCGATTAACTTTGCTTGAAGACCACGAAATTTCAAATCACGTTCAAAAAGTATAGAACCAGGATGGTAATACGTAAGGATCTGTGAGAAAGGAAGCACCAGAACTAGCAGCAAGGTGGGGTTGCCTGTATGGTCAGCCCTTCATTTGAATGCAAATGTAATTTTGGGGCAGGCAGTTATCTGTGACATCAGGCAGGACCTTAGTAAACTGTTACCACCAGCACCTGGTAAAACCATTGTTAATCATGTGTAGTAAAGGGACATCAGGGCTAGCATGAGTCATTTATAGAGCCAGTCAGGGCTAGAAAAGAGAAAGAAAGAGGAGGGGAAGAGAGATCAAACAAATGCTGAGGAGCAGGATGGCCCAGCAACACAAAGCCAGGCTGTGAGCATCATGTATGTGAGTTATCTGTTGGATAAAGAGACCAGCATGTATCCAGGATCCGCAAGGTGCAGCAGCAACAACCTGCCAGTGCAAAACTTTGTGTCCACTCCACCCTATTCCGATTACATGGGATATCATCATGTGCCAACTCTGGACACCCATGGACAGCCTGCGGGAACCTGGGGATCGCACTACGGCCCACAGAGGGAGGACTGGAACGCTTACGGCCCAGGACCTTCCAGCACAGTTGCTGCTGCACAGCTCAATGGCTCGTCTCCCAGACAGGTCTCCTACAGTTCTGCTGACTACAGCTCCCTCCATCCCGCTGCAGCTGGGGGGTTACCTCCTGTAGATACAATTAATGCGCAGCAAATCTCTCCCAGCAGCCAAAGGCACAGCTCTTACGAATGGATGAGGAAAACGGTGCAATCTACTTCTACAGGTATGAGGGCACTGAGGTTTTTATGCTGAGAAGAGTATTCACTTTTATAGGGTTTTTTTCCAACTGTTGGGGGTTTTCTTGCCAGGTTCGCTGTTTTGAGGAAAGTGTACAGTTTAATAAAGGAAGATCCTAATTACTCTGAAAGATTCTCTTGGCAGTAGTTAAATATTAATTCAATTATTGGATGTTGGTTTTGATCAGCTGACTATTTCTTATACTTCTTTCCTGACCTTTAATGATGAGGCAAATGAAAAGCAATGTCCTCCGACAGCAAAGTATTTTCACTTCAGACACATTAAAAAAACCTGTGATATCAAATAATTGCTTTTACTACGAGTCCTATAGATTGGAATGAAGCAGCATGTGTGCAGAATGAAATCATGATGAAAGTATTGTATTTTACCACCACCTATACTTTGCTTATTTTCCTCAAGTTTTAGAGTACCTATGAAAAGTTCAAGTAAAACATATACAGCAGAGGGGCTGGAAATCAGGCTTTGTATTAGAAACAACCTCTCTAAACCTTGGAACACTGAGATGAAATGAGATCTGCAAGATGAAACAATGAATCAATGCTTTAAAAACAGCAGTGATAAGGAATGGGCTGCTTCACTTTGTAGTAGTAGCAGCTCTCAGAATATGCAGGAATACAAAGATCTGTGGTAACACAATCAGCTGATACAGCGACAGATCCATCTCTGATGCCTAATAGTCCATGAGCACAAAACAATTCTTCAATCGTATTTAACCTGTAAAAAAAAGTCACAAAGCATGAGGACAAGGTTCTGTTTGACTGTGATGAGGAACAATAGAAAAAATATAAATATTGAGCATCCCTAAAACAAAAATCTGTACCTTGCATGAATAGAAAAAAAAATTATGAAACAAGAAAGGGGAGAAGGAGAACTGCCTGAAAAGAACTGAGGCACAATCTGCTATATAAAAGTATGTGATCCTCCAAAGTGCGGAGCAGCTTTGACACACACTGAGATCAGCAGAAATTAAGGATGCTCAATATCTCCCCTAAAGAGATGCTCACAGTATTTCAACATTCCATCCCAGGAAGGTTCCTTTCCTTTGAGCCCTTCCTCCTGCCCCAGCTCTGTTCCACACATGCCTGTAAATAATAGTTTTCAAAGGAAGTACTGAATTAATCTCTGATGGAAAAGTAATTAATTAAAGCATACTTTAGAAAAAAGAAAGCAACTATATAGAAAAATTGTCTTCAGCAGAAGAATGCATAGAGAGCCCATAGAAGTCAACAGGATAATCAGAGTAGGTTGTACTCTGCATGGATAAGAATCATGGCAAATAAAAAAAAAAGCAGCACAGTAGTTGGTTTTTTTAAACTCATATTTGTTCTTCACTGAATACTACCCAAGGAAACACAAAAGAGGGCTGGTCTTGCAAAAACTTACAGCTTGCTTTTGAGTAGTCCTCACAAGGGCAATGAAATTGCTCACAAACTGTATTATTTACAGATAGCAGAATACTTGCTCAAAGCCCCACTATTTCTCGTCTCTTCTTTACTTACCTGCCTCTTACGCCTGTGCATTTAAATTGCAGCCTCTCTGAGAAAAAGACCTGATTCGATCTGTCTGTGCTGTCCCTTTTGTAGTGGGGACACTGTGAGACAGAGATGTACATATATACAATAGACAATAACATTCTAACTGCCAGCTTAAGAATCATGCGCAGGGCTTTCTAACCTTCCAAATGTCAAGCCTGCAAGGGTCAGAGCATTCACAGGAGATGTTGAGAGTCTCTCCATTCTGGAATGCTCCAACAAGATATTGAGCATCTTCCTCTCAAGAAGAATTGAAGAAATCAGTATGGCATAGAAGCATATCCTCCCAAATGGCCATGGGCTAATGTAAGGCCCTCTGAAGTTATGGGGAGCCTATCCATTGATTTAATAGGTACTGGGTAGTGTTTTAGGAAAAAATCCAGATAAGTAATTCTCCTGCTGCTTCTTCCCCTCTTTTTTTTTTTCTTGCTAGGTCAGGAATGCTCAGTGCCAACAGATCTGCTTCACTGGCGTTGGTTTCTTTTTCTTCATTCACTCCTTTTCCTCAGTTTAAAAGCAAGGGCACTTTTGGTTTTCCCCATTTTCCAAAAAATAAAACCCATTTTTAAAAATTTGCCCTAACAGCAATGTCAGATCTAGGAATGCACTTAGATGAGCTTGGTTTTGAGCATAGAAATGTTGCAAGTGACTCCAAATGCGTGACTAGGCTAACTGCAAGTACCAATGCGGTTTGCTGGATCATGATCAAATTCCTCAGCATTTTCTTAGATGGAATCCATTGCTTTTTACACCCTCAAAGCTGTACGCACACATTGAGCATTATCCTTCTGTCTCTTTGCAAAACTTTCAGGAATTTCAGTAGAGGTTTTGTATGGGCAAGAGTGAAGGAATCACACCTATCATTTATTAGCTTTCCTTATGCCCTGTGAAATAGATAAGAGCCACCATTCTTAAAGATGGAAAAACTGAGGCTCAGACTTACCTGAAGTAGTCAGAATGGAAAATACACAAATTAATTTTATTATTTGTTCATTATTTGTTGCAAAATACTAGTTATCAATAATAACATTATTTCAATATGGAAACAATAATTATTAAGGCAATTGATTTTTGCAAGGTATTCTCAAAAGTGTGCAAGAAATGTTCCTGTAATCTTATCCCTTTGAGATCAGGAGAGAGTCTTTCTAAAGATTCACTTATGTTGAGTAGTCTGACTTGTAACAGCTACAGTAACAAGGCCCAGAATCAATGACACTTCCATCTCCACGCATTTCATGGTTAGCTTCTCTTTTGGGTGCTTTATGACCGGACAGATGACAAACAAAACACTTCATAGAAATTTCTAACACTGTCTCATGCCCTACAGTTATTTTGACACTCTTATCTACACAACTAACCTGGAACAAAAGAAGAAATTATTTCAAGTCTTACTCTGTAACTTAAAAAACAACATGCAATATAAAACCATGTCTTCAGCTGGTGTTCAGTAAAGTTTATGAGGTTACGCTACCTGAAACCACTGGAAGATCTCAGCATTTAATGCAAGACTATCATCCTGGTCTAGCATTACTGGAATGCATTTCCCGCAGAAAAGACCTAATAAGGCTTTCATCCATCATTCTCTCTCTGGTTGAAGGATGTCTGAATGTCTTTCCCTGCAGCTTTGGAACTGGAGGGAGTGGGACTTGATCCTAAATGCAGTGCACATAGGATCCATTGCCTAGTCACTGCATTCTTGATGGTGTTCAGGATACAGGAGAAAGCAAATGTGTTTTGGCTCAGAACACTTGAAGGAGGAAAGACTGCTTCGCATTTTCAACCAAGAACACCAATTGGGAAAGACCCTTCTCTAACCCTTATACTGCTCCTGTCCCCTCTCCTAAACTACCACTTTCACAGGGCGAGCAAAGCCAAGGCAACTGGCAATTCTGACAGAGGACAGAACAAAGCCAGGACAACTAGAGATTTGAGATGGCAATTCCCCCCGCCCCGAGCATAATTAAGGCAAATTCCTGAAAGGAAAGTAGAATAAAACCATCTTAGAACAAGTTATGAACGTCCTCCTGTTGATTTCAAGATTTTTATGGAGGTATGCAACCACTTACACAGGAGCAGACTTTACTTTTTGCCTTCATGAGAAAACATACATCTGTGGTAAAACCGAGTTTGAAGAGCTAACTATACGCAGTTCCAGCAGCAATGAGAATTTGCTCACAAAGCTGAAAGTATATCTTAAGATTTGCACTTACGTTACCATAAAACAGAGAGTTTTGAAACAGAGGTAAACTATGAGCAGAAACTTTTCCCATAGATGACAACTCTCCTATCATTCTTGTTTAACAAAAATTTACTCTGAAGACATAAAGACAGTTTTTCTGATCATGGCAATGGCAGGTGCTGATAGCATCATTACCAAATGCACTGTAAATGTATAGCATCTAGACTTTGAAGGAAGAAGTTATATTCCCTCAAATCTAAGGAAGAGGAACAAGCCCCTTAAGAAGCCATTCCTGCAAAGTGTTGAATGCCTAAAGAATGTACACCACTTGGAAAAACTTCAGTTAATCGCTTGCTTTTTAGTCTGCACAGTCATTGGCAATGGGATTTCCCCTGACCTTGCCACTTAGAAATCCACCTACATTTTCTGCAGGTTGGGTCCTTCTGCCAAACAAAATCCATGCAGGGTGCTCTGCCCAATCGTTGTTTAAAGGTGATAAAAATGACTCTGCTTTGGATTCAATAATTTCTGTATGAGGAGCATGAATAGAAAAGTTTACACTAGCAAAGTGCAGGACAGAATTTGGCCATTGAGCTTTATTACAGAATAGCAGAACATATTCAAAATTGAAAATATTAGCATTTTAAGTAGAAGAAGGGAAAATTCTTGAAGTCTGTTGAAAGGCTCCAATTCTATGATCCTTCTGTTCTTTTCAGCATGAGTCATCTGAACATGTAGAACAAGAAAAAATTATCAAGACCCAGCAGAAAACACAAACATAGAATTTCACCATGTTTCACAAACCTTTATGCATCCAACTCTGCATTAATGAATAGTTCTACTCATCGCACCAAGACTTCTGGCAGGAATATTATCACTCATGTTATACAGGACTGGATCCACATAACATTTTCTAATACAATGGCAGTGTGTCTTGGTTTTAATTTAGCTGTACAGAACATCATGTGCAGCACAATGTCCACCTTCAAGACTTCTTTAGAATTACTTTTGCTTCACAACTTCAGTTAAGTCAGTGAAATTACACTAGGGAGAATTTGCCCCTTTTTTTTCTACTCTTTTAAAGTGCATAAACATCTAGAGATAGTCCCAAAAACAAAACTCTGGGGTCTGATCTCTGACAGACTGTATCTTTACAAGCTCAAAAACTAACACTGATCTTTCTCTTAATGCTAAGCTAACATAAAGATGCAAATTTGAACTGAGCGTATCTCAAGGCCAGAAAACTGTTTCACATTTTAAGCTGATTTAAGCTAACTTCCAATCATGAAATGCAGACATTAACTTCCTCTGAAACAATGTTAAACTATGGAATCCAGATTACAATGCCTTGTAAGCAACCCGACACTACTCTATACTGTGGCATCTTCTCTCTAAATTAGGGAACTTCTGGATTTTATGAATCATGCCAATTTCAGTAGACGAAGAATATTCCTGAAAAGTTCAGAAAGGAGGCACTGAAAAAGGGGCCAGGGCTAGTTCTAATGCTAATTTATTTTGCTTTGTAAACTAGTTGTGAGGTCCGATGGTGGGGTTGTTTTTTTCCTTTCCTGGCCTACATTGTCTGAGGTTTTGAGGCCTATCTGTCATACTGAGGCAACAGACCCTTTCAACACTTCACTTTGCTTTGATATGCAGTCTTGTCTCTTCCTTCTCTCTCTTTTCTTCAGGAGTTATATTGCCGGAAAGGGTGATGATTTTCACAGCAAATAAAGAGGCCTTCTCCTTGCTTTATTGTCTTCAGAAGAAATGCTCTGTGAATTTTATGACCAATGGGAAAGCTGTTCCCTTCCCCCAACTCAAAACTTGTCCAGTCACAAAAATTGCTGGAGTGGGTGTGATAGGTTTGTTAAACTATATCTCCTGAAAAGTCTTCTAAGTCTGAAATGTCTTATTTCTCGTTACTCCAAAGGCACTCTTCAATAGTCACTATTTGCAAAACAGGTTTTTGACAAAATTTGCTGTTCTTAAACAGCTCATTAAAACCAGGAAATCCACTACCCCAAAACAAAGGCAGTCATACTGCAAAGGTAGTTGCTTCAAAGCTCTTTTGTCTCATTTTTCTTCCACCCAGCTACCAATAACCTCTCCTACCACTTGCAATTCTGTCATATAACTGTCCATGACAGAACATATTTCCAATAAAATTGACATTATATTGCTGATTAAAATGATAATCTGTCACTCACAAAATATTAATTAGGATTGTAGAAAGTTAAATGTTGGTAACTTCACTCACCTAAGTGAGCAAAATATGCAGGATTTGACTAAAGAATTGGATTAAAATAATTACTTTTATCATTGCATCATTAAATTCTGCCATTATCTCCTAAAGAGGTCTGAGAACTGAAGAACATCCTTCTGCTGTCTCTGGGGTGAATCCATTAGTCCTACCTCAAATTTTACTCGGGTAATACTTCTCCTTGAAATCACTGTAAATAAAACCAGTAGAAGGTCTGCAGGATTTGGCTCAGAATGGAGTGGCTCCTGTTCCATCTAACAGAGAGGATTTAGAAGCTGAAGTCCCAGACAGTTTAGGATAGGTTTTGTTGCTGCTGCTTGTTAACTTTGGCAAATAAAAGAGAAGTGTACTTTGCCTTTGAAAGGAAATGCCATATGCAGACTAATTCCAACCAACGCATTAGAAAGACGCTCAGTGACATCAAGGAGAGTCTGGGTAAAGGCCTAAAAGACTTCAACGTGACTCTGCCACAGCTAAAAGTATCCTCTCAGAAGACCCTGGCAGATCTCGGCTCCCTTTGTCTTTTCTCTCTCACAGAGAGTATTACTCTACACAAAAAAAAACAAATTAATAAACACAAGATTTATCTGACAAATCAGAGAGAATTTTTCTCAGATTGTTGTTGACTTTTAGGAAGGAAGTGTTCTCCTTTTGCTTTTCTACCTTTTAAATTATTCTCTTAACTTACTTTAAAGAAATAAATTAGATGTGAAAGTTCCCAATCTTCCTTCAAAAAGAAAACAGATATTATCATTCCGACTAAAAATAACCCAAAAGTTAGTGATAGAAAAATAAAAGATTTTATGGGAGAAAGTTCTGTTTTCCACATACATTTAATTTCTTCTTCAATTTGAAAAGCAAAAAAACCATCCCTCTCCTGCTCAGATAATAAGGGTTTAAGCACTTAAAACCAGAAACAGGAAGGTTTATCTCGAAGTTTAACCACCTTGTTTTGGCAACAGAAGAACATTTGATATTTGTCTATGGCTTCTGAATGAGAACAGGGTTCAAGATAAGATCACCTTGTAGCTCTTCTGTGTGCTCCATCTTAACAACACAAAGGAGACTAAGGAAACATTTTAAACATTTTGTTCCATAGAATGACCTCAAATTCTCATTTAAAGAAGAAAAAAAACCTAACCAAACCACCGGCTAGAGATCAAAAGTTAAAAAATATCAAGTGAGGCATTAAAGCACCACAGGTGACCATATGTTAAACAAACAATTTACACTTCGAATGAATGAAAACAAATGTCCTAGTATTTATGTGGACTGAACTGAATAACTGCGGTTCTTTTGAGACCCTAAAATTCTTACCATAATGTTGTAAAATTAACAGCACTTTTCACTTGATTATCAGTGTAAACCTAATTGGGCTAATTCTGCTTTCACTACAGTTTCGTAATGATAGAAATGCCACTGAAATGAGAATGTCCTATTTATCTACCCCAGCACAGCAGAACCTTCACAAGGAAGCTAACAGCTTTGAGTCAAAGTGGGTTTGGCTGCACGGATTGAGCAGAAACCCCAGCGTAAGGAACAAACACAAACATGCACACACCTATTTTCCCTATTGAAATAGTCCAAGTAAACAGGCTGATGGCCTCAAGACAGTTGGAAAATGCCCATACCATTGTAAACTCGCTGACGCATAGTGCTTTACCAGGGTTGAACACCATGGAGCACGGAAGCTGAAGGATCCAATTCTGATGTAGCCCTTCTTCTACAAGCCTGAGAAGAGTCCTAGAGAAACCCTGTCACGTAGGTGAACCAGTTGTTAGACTCAACCAGAGGTGTAACAGTATTTGTTTACAGCATTGAACTGACCAGGACTTCCAGTGCTAAACAGCTCTGTACCTAGGATCGATACAAACAGTACGAAACGGATCAGGGCCTGAAGAACCTTCTAATGCAAACAATACTTCGGTGAGCCAAAAACTCATACAAGTAGCAAAGTACTGACCGTCAAATGCTGGAAAAGAAAAAAGTGACAGGGCTCTCAAGCCATTACCACACAATGTATACAGCAAGTGGAAGGCAACGTTAACTTTAAATATGTTCAGCTATTCAAACAAAGCGAAATCATGTCTCCTTGAAAAACATTAACCCTTGAAACCAAACAATGAATTAAGGGATAAAGTACTTTGAGATTCTGCTACAGTTCTGTACCCTGAATTCTGATCTTTGGGTGCTACTCAAACTTCAAAAGCAAGGGGAGTTGGAAGGAAGGGCTGGGTCGAAATCAGGTCTTTGGCACCACTGACACGCAAAACTCCAGCTATTCTCTCCTGCAGGGGGGAAGCTGGTTGCTATGGGGCGGTGTGCCGAGGTGATCTACTCAGGGACCAAAATTTTACCTACTCAATGCCTGAAAATCTATTTCCTCTCCTTTCAAAAGTAACTGCTCTTATTAGGAGTGCAATTATTATGAGCTTGAGGAACCTGTTTTTTGAAAAGTTGGGCATCCACACATTCTTTTCAGAAAAAGATCTGTAAGCAAACATGAGCTGTTGTACGAAGCTGAGCTGCAGCTGCGGCAACAGCAGACTGTTACAGGCAGCAAGCCACAATATGCCTAGAGTTTTATGCATCATCTGAGAGAATGTGAATCTAAGGGGGCTGTTCTACTATTATGACCACTAAGGACTCAAACATTCATGATCTACAGTACCACAGTGGAACACGCTGCAAAAAAATACCAACTAAACATGGATTCCCTGTCCTAGACAATTTACAGTCTAAATAGATACATCTGAAGAAACATTCATATAAATATAGCCGGACAAAGACGCACAAAAACATGGTAAGACTGTTGTTAGCAAACAAGGTAGCGCTGGCTTTTAACACAACAATGATCTGATCTTTAAAAAACGTAGGAAGACCTAGGGCTCAGGGGCCTTGGTTTTAAGCAGCTGTTGATCTCCGATATATTGATCGCCTATTATGAACATCAACGACAGAGGAAAGGTGAGTGAGAAAGGAAGCATCAGCGGCCTTTCCCATTCTCAATTCTCTTTTGCTATTGCCAACACATTCTGTCCTCAGAAATTATCCTGCATGGAATCCATAACACTTCAGCTACTTGTGTCTGTGTTCACTGGCTCATGTCATTTGCTATTACGTTTTAACGACTGAAATACTGCTGAGCCAGTCTGCTTCAGTCAGCTGTACCCACAGCTGAAAGGAGGCAGCAGTGCTGCTTGCAAAAGAACAGATGCTGCAGTTCTATCATTGTTCAATGTCCTTTGTTAAGCATTATTGCTTTCTTTTTCTCATTTTTATTAACTGTCATCTGAAAGTCTATGTTACTATTCCCTGTGCTCCTCTCAAGTCATAGACAGACTGAGCCAGACTTGAAGGAAAAACACAATATCCAAGTTGCAGTAACAATCACAGTATTGTATTAAATTCTCTAGAAACAAGTGAGGAGCTTTGGAAGCTCTCAGTAATTTCTATGCAGTAAAATATCCCTCACAATTTCCCTCTGAACCAGGTAGCAGTGTATCAGCTTTAGGGATGGAGAAACAGTGCAATCCAACACCAGGCAGGAAGCCTGCATCAGAGCTGGGAACAGAACCCAGGTTTCCTGGCTCCTTGCTCTTAACAAGAATGCCCTCCCTTTCCCAAATGATAATACAAGAGATAAAGAATATGAGGACCACTTTATCATCTATTTACTAAGGAGCAAACCCAAAATCTGATGGTATGAACCTTTTGTGTTGTAAATCAAGACCGAGTCCACTGCAGTCAAGGGAGTTACTCTGGGTAAGTGCACAGACAATTAGGCCTAAAATACAAACATATTTTCAAATGTAAAGCCAGATATTCTGTGTTACTAAAGTTAAAAAATTCTAGCTTGAAGCAATGTGTTCTTCTTTCAAAACAGGTAAAACAAGAACAAGAGAGAAGTACCGAGTGGTTTACACAGATCATCAGAGATTAGAATTAGAGAAGGAATTTCATTACAACAGATACATTACAATCAGGAGGAAGTCTGAACTTGCTGCAAACCTAAGACTTTCCGAGAGACAGGTAGAGTATGGATCACCCATTCAGAATTTCTTTGAATTTATTACTGCTGATGAGGAGATAACAGTACTGGTTAAGAACTCAAAAATGCTAGTGCCTCTAATAACCAAACAATGCGACTGGGTTCCCTTTGCAGTGTAGGAACTCAAAGTATCCAGCTGAATGACCTGACAGCCCTGTTTGCACTCATTTCCAAATATCCCATCAGCACTACTTCAGCTCTCATCAGGGAGCTGTGCAACAACACAGAAAAAGCAAACACCAGTCTTACATACAGTCCTGTTCTGAGAAACAAGCGTTTGAAAATATCTACAAAATCCTGCCTGGATTTCTCTCTGTTTTACTGGGGCAGCAGTAGCAGGGAGATATTTTTGCTGAAATTTCTAAAGCGGAAGCCCTGGTTCTGATGAAGTCAATGGGAACTCTGTAACCAATTTCAACAAGGTCAGTCTTAGCAGAGAATGGAAGTGATGAGCTCAAGTATGTTCAGGACACCTGGAGGTATTTGTTTCTTTGTCTGCCTTTTACCTTTTGTTAAAAATTTCCTACATACTTACTACTCTTTTTCTCCTGCCCCTTTATCCTCCCACCCCCTCCAAATTTCACTCCTGTTCTCACAACATAAATCAAAAAGGTTAAAAGATACATATTTTTTGCCCTGGAACCACTCTTGCTGCCTTCTTCAGTCATGCTATTGCAACGCCAGTGCCACCCCCCCCAAAGCAAAGCAGGTACAGGGCCTCTGGCTCTCAAGCACTTCAGCTGGCAAACAATCGAGATAAGATGCCAGGCTAGATCTCCCACAAAGACACTCACAACAAGGGCTGAGCATATGTTTGGTCCCATTTTGCTTGGGAGTTTCTTGATTCAGCACACTGAAGTAAGCAGCGAAACAGAAAATTAAAAGCTTTACTGAAGGATCTCCCTGAGCAGATTTCAGGACACAATATGCTCATTTGCTGCCTTTTCAATTTGCAGACCATCACAGCACTGTTTTCTCAGTCAGTTATTATTCAGTATCATTCACTGAAGATTATGCCTGATTCACCATTGTTTTATTGGCTCTACTGAGCAGGGATAGTCCAAAATCCACCTAGTTGTAGCACTGTTCATCCAACTTGAACTTGTCTGATACAGCACATGCTGAAATTGCTTACAGAAATGGAGAAGCAAATATCCATTTTTCACATATTTGTCAATCTGCTGTTGATTGCAAGTATTTAATTACTGAAAATTAAAATTATTTCAATGAGGTATAAAAAATACACCATGTCGTTTTGCTGGCTGTTAAGACCTAATAACTTGACTTCATTATACTGAAATTAAAAATTATGACCTTACTTCTGTAAAGAACCAACAATATTTACTTGAAACTTCCTAGTCCAGTGATAAGATAAACTTTTTTGGCAGTATATTTGAAGTGGTGACACAAAAAAGACATGCTACATTTCTTTGACATACATTGGGGAAACATGGCAACAGTTCTTGCAGTATTTGCTCTTCTTCATCATCAATATATGTCATGAATAAAATTAACTCCAGTGCGTAAAGCCTACATCTCTGAAGTCACTTTTGAAAATGTAAGATTAAGAAAGAAATACCTGATCTATACCCCCACTACTACCCTTTGTTACAAATTAAACAACCCCATCATATGAATATGACTGAACACACACTGTCCTATCCCAAGTTCCACTGCACGCAGCATATAACCTAAAATAATTTTCTGGAAAAGCTTTTTTCCTGGCTATGCCAAAATCTCATCCAGGACACTGCAAGGAATATCTCAAGATAAAAGGACAAAGAACAATTGCTTAAACAACAAAGGAAAGATGTAATATCTAATGAAGGGGGGAAAAAAAGGCAAAACAAAGCACTGCTAATATAGGAAGGATACAGAAATAAAGGAGATGATGAGGACAAGAAAGAAGAGAGAAAATTAGACTTCAGGGGAAGAGTTACTGGCACAACAATTGAGCAGTGGCAAAAAAAATACTGAAAGTAAGGAGGGCAACAGGTGAAGAACAAGTCAGACATGCAACTGACCACGTTAGTTTGTAGTCTAACACTACAGATCTGCATTTACTTGTAGATATTTGATAATTGGCATCAACCTTGAAGTGGCTACCGAAATTCTCTCTGGACCACTGCTGCAGATCTCCATCCCTAGTTTAATAACAAACTAGAACAAAAACCTAAATTCAAAGGCAGGTAACAACACTGAAGCCAGAGGGCAATTCTAAAACAGACATTAATTTGTTTTTTAGACTGTTTCATCTTTTCATGCATTTTGGCAAATGCCTGGGTGAAACTAGACTACCTCAGCATAATCAGAATGCGAGAGATCTGAGAGTATTTGAGACTGGTTTAATGGAACATAATTTGGTACTGAAATGATGTTTCAGAAACTAAAACAATAAAATGAACTACCATATGTCTAAGATGATAGCCCAGGACATAAGAGATGTAGTTCCAGTTTCCACAAGCTTTGTGTGTAGCTGAATTCTTCAACTTTAAAATAGGAATAATAATGCCTCAAGAAGAGATACACCGAGACTGTCACAGAGACTCCTTAAGATGTTTTGTGGGACTTCACCACTGGTTTTCTTTTAAAACACAACCTAGTAGCCACAGATGTTCTCACCTCTTACTGTTTTACCTCCTTTCTGATTATCATTCTCATTCCCTTTCTAGCTTCATGCAAAGGATAACTAAACAAATCAGTATTTCTCAGCAAACCATTGATTTTTCTTCTGGTAATAGAAAATGGTGACAGAAGGGTTTCCTTTGCCATCTAAACACCAACAAACCTCTGAATGAGGTAGCTTGACTCATCACACTGACTAGACATAATACAGAGCCACTTCCAAGGATAAATAGCTGGCATGCACTGCTCTAAATCCAACACTGGGGATTCACATCCAAGACATTTCAGTTGCCATAGAACATTCACCCTCTCACACCTGAACGAGCTCTCCCGTATTTTCAATTGACCATTACTCATCAACTTCATCTCACGTCCTCATTTGTTTCAGCCTAATCAAAACCCACATACTCTTCAATAGCTGCTTCACTTCTTCCCGAAGATGACTGCATTTCTGTCACAGCAACGACTATGGCACAAAGCAGTGGACTGTGCGGGAGACAGCAGCTGGTTCTGGCTCCATCTACAAATGCGATGAAAGGCGATTAGCTATTAAGGCACTGCTTATACAATATTGTGAAGTAATATTGTGTACCAAGAGTAGTGCACTGGTGAAATTCTGCTCAGAAGTGTATTTCCTTTGGCTGACAGATAGGAGCTCACCAATTAATATGTAGCATCCAAACAGGAAAGCTTTTGTGCTTCAGTTCATAGGCCACTAACAGGTTTTGACCTGCTCTGACTAGGGCATAGAGTTTTCAATGTAAATACACTCACAGATTCTTTCGGCTATCACTACGACACAATGAGATTATGTTCTGTTAGATTTTGTACCAAAATGAAAATAAAAATCAAAGCTCATTGCATAAAAAAAACACCTCTTAAAAATAAAACTAACATTGAAAAACTCTTTTTATCAAACTATTAGTAAATATTTTATTACCAGAGAGGAAAGAAGACCTGTACAAAAACCAAGCAAACAGCTCTGTTGTTGCAGTTTGCCATGGCCTTTCTCACTGGTCCTCATGCAACTTATTTTACTTATGACCCTTGACTGTATACATAAAAGACCACATTACATTCTATTAGCAACTGAAAAAAATTTCCCTCTGCTCCCCTGCAGGTGAAAATCTGGTTCCAGAATCGCAGAGCCAAAGAAAGAAAATTAATGAAGAAGAAAATGACTCATTTTGATGGCAGCAATCTTGGCTCTATGCAGAGTGACTCTGGCTCAGTGAGCCCGATGCCAGTTCCTGACCAACAGACTCATTCAGAAATGTCCGGTTCTTTATTCCCCGCTCCACCTCCTCCACCTCCGCTTCCCATGAATGGTTTGCAGCACAACGGGAACCTGCAGCAGGTAGTGGCCTCACAATAAGACTGCCTGAAGAGCTACTGCATAATGAACTCTATAAACTACCAGTACACGGAGCACTACAGTATGAGAGGACAGCTGTAGCTGTCTTGCAGGTGTCCCCAGCATGACACAGTTCTGGGCACATAAGCTTCAAGTACAGTAAACCAAGAGCCACTTGCCAGGTCTGCAGGATAGCACAAGCTCCCAAGGGCAATGGAACTGCTGTGTGCCAGGAGCCCCAGTTGCAGGGAGCCTCTGCAAGAGGATGCCATGCCGAGCCTGTGCCACGAGGCAAGCATCCCTCCAGCCATGCAGCAGGTCGGTAGGCACTGGCACGGAGGAGAGCTGAGGATCAGATACTTGTTACAGCACACTGCAGACAAAAAAATGCACAAAATGGGCCACAGGCAATACAACATTGCTGAGGCAGTGACAGCAACTGTACGCAAGTGCTCTGTCTGTCCCTCATCCCTTGGTAAAGAGCATACTCCTCCTCCTTTGATCTCCACAGAGGTTCCATGTACTAATCTCACTTTCATGGACTTTACACATGGATCCTGATAAATGAAAACCTGGTTTATATGTTTTGACCCATTTGATGGAAAGCCTGGGTACTGGGGATTGCACTCACTACATGTTAAGGGCAAAGGTCAGGGATGAGCTTTTTGGAAATTTTTGGTTCTGACAGGTGTGATTTCCAATGCTCCATAAACTGGTACAAACACACACACTCTTCAGTCTTACCCTAAATGTTTCAAAAGCATTCTGAAATTGTGAATCTCGGCCCAAGTTAATTTTTGATAGAAGAAAAATCACGTCAGACTCATTTTGTATCCTAAAAGAAAAAGCAAAGGGGGAAAATCCTTTTAAAAAGTGTAAGTACTTTAAAAAGTGACTGCATTTCATGAGATAGCATAGCCCATGGATAAAAATGCAATAATTGCATTCAACTAATTTTAAATTTGGTCCAGCATTCAGAGCTATTGTGACACTAAAAAAAATAAAAATCTGAGAAGTCAAATTAATGGAAGACAAAGCAAACAAATATTTCACTTAAATATGAGCTCTTGGCATTTGCTAAGTGGGTCTCAATTCCTGAAGTGCTGATCCCTTCCACACTAAGCTGAATTTGGTACGTGATCGGTACTTAAGAATAATCCAGATACTTACTTCCTAAGATGACTAACAATTGCATGTGCATAACTTGTCTACAAAGGGAAAATTTTAAAACATGCAATTTATTTGGCAATTTATACCCTCATTGTCAAAAGCAATTTAGAAATTTAGGATGCCTATCTTCACTGATTTTCATCCAGGTGTCCTCCTAAATATCTCTGTCAACGTTACAAGTAAGACTTAGAAGCATTAAGTCATTTAGGCACTACGTTCTTGGGTTTTTTCCTTAATTATAACAAATAGTACTATTAGGTCATAAAAATGTTGTTAATGTAAAATTACTTTGTATATAAAGAACATTAAAATAAATTACTTTTTTCATAATAATTTTCCAATGTGGTATCAGCTACTGTGGCAAGTGAACACGCAGATTTTCATGAGTAGTCTGTTTTTGAATTGTAATATCAAATTTAACAGCAGGCTGATGGTAAAAAATGATTATAAAATTACAGGATAACGGTAAGTCCAGGATGGTTCAGGGAGCTGGCAGTTTTCACTATTTCTTAATTTTATTTATCATTTTATGGTTGTGAGAAGGACTTTAGATACACACATATCAGTTCAGCAACAGAAAGAGTCCTACTGATTTCCACATATTATGAAAAGCGGAACACGACAAACAGCATGTGGGAACCAACGTGATTTACCACCCATATTGATGAGCATGGCAACCACACCAGAACACTGGTCTCGCAAAAGAGATATCCATTGGATATATCCAAAAGAGGAATCCATTGGAAATACACAGAATAGCCATTCTGTCTGCAGAGGGAAATGCTAGAGTTATTTGACCTACAGTTAACACATACACACGCACATATAACAGAGACCGAAAAAGGTTCCAGGAGAAAAGCATCCAGACATTGGCCAGTTAACCAGGATTCTGCTTGCATACTAGAGAAAAATCAATAAAAATCTCCCGATTTAGACTTTCAAAAGGTAAGAAATACAGAGGGAAACTTTGTCTTTTGTAGTGATATACAATAATTACGACCTAGTTCTAGCTAAGTGTACAGAACACTGGCCCCAGGGTTTTGCAGGATCAAGTTCATAGCTACCTATTTTAACCACGTTTCCATGGCAAAGTTTAATTTTGTATTAAAATTTTAAAAATAAAAAAGCAAAAAGTCCTTCAAGAAACAACTTGAAAAAAAAGAAATGTATCTGAGCACAACTTCTTTCTCTTCAAAATTATTTAAACATCATTCAAAGAGAGGGGGATCTGGCAAAATGACCTGGTTTATCTTGTTTACATGTAGAAGAGTTATTGAGGAAGATAAGTGACCACTTTGAAGATCTGCCTCATTTCTGTTCCAGTTTGCTGAAAGCATGCTTGCTATAGGTTGCTATGTGTTTCCAATCAGAAGTTGTTAAGTACACAAAATAAGGCTGGATTTTATTTGCAGAAGCACATGTTCAAAGGTTAAAATTTATTGCTCCAAAAGCAGTATCTATAAACCAGGGCAATACCTTAGAGATTATTAACCTTCTAGCTATGCCAGTGATTGTTTTAAGCAGTACAATTTTTTAGTAAAACTTACCACTGACCTATTCAATTCAATATTTTCAATGTGCCCTAATCCTTTAAACAGTTTCCCACCAAAACCAAAAGAAAGCTATTTTTCTCTAAGAAGTTTGTGTAGTCCTGTTGCTTAGATGCTGTATTGTGTATAATTAAAAATAAGAGAGACATAAAATTGGAGCCAAATCAACTGAAAATATTTTGGTCCAACATTGTGAGTCATGAAATACTGGTGCCAGCCCTCATACTTACTTTCTTCCTGACTTTGGGTATATCACACAACCTATCACTTTTATCACATCTGAAAACTAAGGACACTAAAGCAGAGTTGCTCTGAAGATTGATTGCTTGTTAGCAAAGTGCCTTGCAGAAGAAAAGCATACCTTAGACTACATCACAAGAATATCTAAACCCTTAATCCTAATTGTGATTAAATGAACGATCAAGGTATATCCAATTTTCAGAGGCATTCCCTAACCTTTAAACCCCGTTACCCAGTGAGAACTGTGATCTATACAGTACAAAGATCAAGAGCAGCATAGCAAACAGGACCTTCTACAATAACTCCATGCAGCTAAGCAAGATATACAATTCCAAATGACATTTCTAAAGCAAAAAACTTCAAATATGCAGCATTTGCAATTGCTTAGGGGTTACGCAGTCGTTAACGTACATATGACAGCGCATCACATATGTGCTACCTTCTACCCAAGCAGCAGATTCAAAAAGATATTCAAAATGCACATTAGCACAAAAACTAAAAACCATACTCCTACTTTAGCACCCTTACTCAGTTTGCTGGTGCAGTGCAGGCTTACTCCAACCCAAGCTTTTACACCTGGAGCATATGCTGAAATGACACGTCCCTGCAAATGACTTAGAGAGCCAGTCACATTTTGGAACGGCACTGGATGTTACTGGTTGGACACAATATTGTGCCAGCCTCACTATGTAAAGGAATATGCACAGGCTTTATGATGAAAATGTTTGCCAGCTGTACTCATATTCAAAGAGCACAAATACTTTCTTGTACATTTTGTAACAATCTCTCTTCTAAGAGGTATAACAATAAATGGAGAGGCTTAATTAAGATACACCCTGCATGTTCTTGGTCTTCTAAGCCACAATAAAACACAGTCACTCTAAGGCAGGACAGACTTTACTTCGACAATAATCTCTCTTATCTGGGAGTACGCAAGAAGAGTTCAATTTGTGCAACAGAAATGCCAGTCCGCCAGGAATATAAACCATGCGTATGGCAAGAATGGCAAACAGTAAAGGCAGTCAGTTCCTCTGTAACCTCAAAAAAGACCAGCCACACCAAAGAACGTCCCAGGGACTCAGTAGTGAGCACCCAATAATCCCATCTAGCTGTACTCTGGTCAGCACACCTTAGTTACAGTAAGTGGGAGCCCTACGCTACACGACTCGGGAAGGAAACCAAGTAAGTATCAACAGAGGAGTTGCTGTTCATTTTCATGGTTCAGCTAACAAGAAACGATTTAACCTGGAGTTCACATGCAGGCTCTGTAACTCCTGCTGTATTGTCTGCTTGTTGAGCAGTAAGCTGTACGCTTATTACTGTCAGTACTGGTTTTGCAGCCGATTTTAAATTATTTAGATTTCAGAACAGTAAGACCGTCCTCTAGCTCCAGACAATTCTTTCCTGGCAAATACAACACTGGTGCAGATCATACATGAAATGTAGTGTCGCTACTTCTAATAAAATGCAAAAGTTAACCTTAAGAAATGAAAGATAAGTCATTGTTAGCAGCAGTTAGAAAAACAGTAGTGGAATAGATAGAGGAGTAAATTCAGTCACTATGCTTCCAACAAGTCACTTATCATTTTTCAAAAGGATTTTTCAACAACCAAAATTTCAGAGCATGGAATTAAAAATGAAACCACTGAGGAAGGCTTCACAGACCACTAACATTTTTATTTCTACTGTTGTTCTCTTATGAAAAAGAAATACACATGAGGGACAAGAGACACACAGTACAGAACTGAAACTTGTGATCTATCCCTTTTTCCCCAGAAGAGCTCAGTTCAGCAAGTGAAAACAGTTCAGCTAGCATTACTCATTCAGCTCTCTAGGCTGTGCCACGTCTGTCAATATGGAGACAAAATCTGGCATGTGCTTGCATTTCAAGCCCTGAAAATGAGACCTAACTAGGGTGTTGCATATGAAACCAGCCCAATTAAAAAGGGTAAGTACAATTTTTAGAAGCTTTCTGTTTGTAGAAGCTTCAGTGAAAGCAAGAGCAGCCTCTTCAGCTGTGCGTTTTAAAATTTTAAAACCATCTGCCTTCATGACTAGACAAATTTTTTTTCCAACAGAGACTTTCCTCAAGATTTATACAGCTGACTATTAATTTTCGGAGGAATGGGTGTGCGTGCAAAGCCCAGCCTGAATAAAGGGTCACTAACACCTCCAAAATGCTGTGTTAGAACTACCAGCAATACACAGTTCACCAACAAAGTCCTTAGCTAGCCATTCCATTGAAATTCCAAGCATGCAGTCATAAAGGTACAGGCAGGAAGCATTCTTAAGCCTGATGTTACTGATGTGTTGTTAGAGTGGTCATCTGGAGGCAAGCAAACTCACATCTATTCCTGTCACCTTAGCCAGAATGGGACACGCTATGCTCACCTGCTTTTTTTTTCTGCCTCAGAAATAAAACCCCAGATAGATTTCCTATCATTTTCAAGCTTCAAAGATGGACAGATTTGTTTCTTCTTATCTCCATATAAAAGGAAGAGTAACTTTATAAGTAAGGGTTCCTAATAAAAACTATCACACATATAAACATCTTTAATATAAGTTATTGTTGTACATGACAGTTTTACTCTACCAGTAGTCCTTGAAATAGCAGTTATAATACCTAAAACACAAAAACATTTAATTCCACATTTGTGATTATATCATTACCCAATTTGGAAATGCTCTTTAGAACAACACATGTACCATAGTAAACCATCTCCATTGCCTGTACAAACAAAACTATAGTAGTTCCAATGGTTATCACCATGCTTATTACCAGATTTTCATCAATCACTTGTTAGAAAACTAGAAAATGTTCTTCCCTGAAGAACTCAAAGTACATTTAATTTTACACACATACAACTTTGCTTCAACAAACACTGAGGCAACTCCTGTGAACACTGGCTAAGCAGATAAATTATATATAGCATTTTAACAGGTGGAGGAAAAAAAAGGAAAACAAAAACCTTGGAATTCAGTTATTCTGGCAATCCCTCTCTCTGAAGTATGCCAAAGAGCAGAGGAGTTTTGCTGCCAACACCACACAGAACCTTCCTGTTCTGCCCTTATCACCCACTGCAGAAAATGGTATAAATACAAAGCTCCTTATGGATGAGGTTTCTGGATGTCTAGATCACTACTGCAGAACTGCTTTTGCTTTCCCACCACCACGCAAAGTCAGGAGAGGCCCCATGGTAATGCTACAGTTCCACACGCGCTTGACCCAGGCACAGGCCTTCCTCTGCCACCAGCAACTCACTGCCATCCCCTCACAGTGCAAGTATGCGAGTGCACAAGGCAAAGCCAGTTCCCTTTTGTCCTTTTTCTTTTTTTTTTTCTTTTTTTTTTTTATAGCAATGCCCACTAAAAGTGTTCTGGAACTACAGTGTAAATTCCTACTACACACTGAAGATGCAGTGGTTCTGTAGCTCTGAAGCTACTGCCGTGCTGGACCTGAGCAGGAAGGGACATGTGCATGGCCAAGAAATCGCTCTTGGGAAGGCAGACTCGGATTAAGTCAATTAGCTCTCGGAAAACATCAACCTCAAAATTTTGGTATCCCCAAAACTACTAGACTCCATAGCAAAGGTATGGTTCCTTTTTAATACATCCAGATGGTTCTGTTACACAAAACGGGAGGCATAAAAGTCAGAGTGCAGAAGACATTTGAATGTAGCCATTTTAGTTATCTTTTTCTCACTTTGGTGTTAGAAATCTGCAGTCCTACCCAGCAATCTTATCCTGCTATGTAAATCTTCTTAAACAAAATGCCTTATTCAAAGCTTGCTATTGTTAGCCGATATCAAATCAGTGTAGCAATTTGCCATCGGTGTATCTTGATCCAATTACGTTCTGGAAAGATTTGAAATAGATCTAAAGAAAATTCAGATAATGGAACAGGCAAAGCAAGAAAGGGAAAGGAGGAGCATAAACAAAAGATAAAAGAAGAACAGAATAAAGGATAAGGCTCTGAGATACAAAAAGTAGGATTAGGTGATACTGAAATTGTGGGGGGTATGCGCAAAGGCATCCCAAAAAGAAAGAGGAAGACCGGGGATTAAAAATGTTGCCATCATCTAATGCATTCTATGAAATTAAATGTCCTTCACTGAGACGTGCAAATGGTGTGCTCAGGAACAGAAGTCAAACAACGTGTCTGATCTGAAATCTATGAGCATCCAATGTTCACTTGTACTACGTCAATGGATTTCAGATACAGTCAGTGGAGACAAAGCTTCACCCTCCTATGGATCTGCCTACGACAGACAGCTCCAGCTCTGCATAAAATTTAGCAATACACCGGAATTGAACTGCTGGCACAATGCTCACAAATAGGCCAAAGATTCCAAGGATACTTCCAGTATAGGAAACATATCTTGCTTAATTTGGATGATGCTCAGTGGAGTTCTTTGTTCTTTTTAGTACATATCAGTACTAAAAAGTCTGTGGGCTCTCAAAAATTGTATTACAGATCCTCTTCTTTCAAGATGAAGGGAACAAGAGTCTCTCCTGATTGTTTTTTCATGTCTGTTTTTTAGAACTGTACACTAAGTACAGGCTGCCTTACTTTTTCCATGTCCTATCCCATGATGCAACCTTCCTCAGCAGTCTTAGAATCCCAAGGATTAATAAAGCTGTAAATATAGCAAAATCTTTACAATTCATGTTGCTACACTTCTCAGTAAAAATTCTTTCCTCAAAAAAAAACCCAAAAAAAACCCCAAACCCAGAAGAGGAATATCTTTCCTGTCTTTGAGTACACACTTAGAATCCTTTAGTGCTGGAATTAGAAGGGATGTGTGAATATGAGTAGTGTCAAAATACAAAGGATACTGAATGAAAAACCACACCTTTGTAAAGGGAAACAACTCATTGTAATTTGCACCTCTTTTGCAGGTATACCCCTTGACAAATAGCTCATTGCAAAGAAATCCATCCAAGGTAAAAGTACATCAAATTCACTCTACAAATTGTAGCTAGACAACCATACAGAGGCAATTCTCAAGCCATAAGGTGTGGCTTTGTTCTCCCATGTTAGTATCAAGCTCTGAATAACGGCATATAAAACCACCTTCAGAATAATTTTGCTCAGTGGGAACACTTACACTGCCCTACAGAGTACCCATGTGTCAGGCGCTTTACAGAAGAGCATCAAGGCAGTTCTGATCCGCTAACTTGTTAACCCAGATGTTTCTCCCTGCTGATTTTACTTACCTAAGCTGCCCCCACTGAAAACAGACTACTGCTCAGCAGTTTCGGAGGAAGGAACCCAGCCTTACAGGCAGATAAAGGTAGTCTTCAGTTTGAAACAGAAGCCAACAATATTACTGGGCCTAATCAAAGACTTTTTTCACTTCTTTTTACAGTCATCTTCTTTGTACTTCTGGCACCATCTTTGTTAGGAAGATTTATTTTAAAAATTTATCAGTTTGCAATGGCCACCAGACGACGGGAGCTCTTTAAATCACTCTGTATGGGGAGAGCGTGAACATTTGCGCTACAGTTAAAGCCTTAATTTCTCCAGGGCTGGAAAAACACTTACAAATATCAATAATGAGGGGAAAATTTTTGAGACATTTCTACTCAAGACATGCTGTTTACAAGGTGCTCTGTATTCTGAAGTTACTGACTTACAATTATTCAAACTGACCGTGTCCCTTAGTTTAAGAAAAGGAGATTTTTTTGACTATCTGAGAAATTAAGAGAGTAACAGATTTACTTGTTGATTGGTAACATGTGACAAAATAAAGGTTTCAGACAAGAATCATCTGAACACCAAATGCTGCTATTATAGCTACCACTGTCTTTTCTTAAAAAAGGTCTATTTACTAAATCACAAATACAACAAACTGTTGCATCATCTTACAGTACTGGAATTGCTGTTGAATATCAAGGAAGGGTAATAGGATAGATAAAAGTTCTCTAAAAGAGAAAGCACCAGAACTAGCAGAAAGGTGGGGTCGGTCAGCCCTTCATTTGAATGTAAATGTAATTATGAGGCAGGCAGTTAGGCTGACGTCAGACAAGATCTTGGTAAACCATTACCACCAGCACCTGGTAACACAGTTGATAATAAAGAGGATGAAGTAGAAGATTCCAAGCAGAGTGGCATTATTAGAGAAAACAAAACACAATTATTTTTAAGCAGCGAAAGACAATACAGAAGAACAAGATGTTGTGACAACGTATTTACAATCTGTGACAATCATGTACGTGAGCTCCCTCTTGGATGAAGAGACCAGCATGTATCCAGGATCTGCAAGGAGCAGCAGCAACAACCTGCCAGTGCAAAACTTTGTGTCCACTCCACCCTATTCCGATTACATGGGATATCATCATGTGCCAACTCTGGACACCCATGGACAGCCTGCGGGAACCTGGGGATCGCACTACGGCCCACAGAGGGAGGACTGGAACGCTTACGGCCCAGGACCTTCCAGCACATTTGCTGCTGCACAGCTCAATGGCTCGTCTCCCAGACAGGTCTCCTACAGTTCTGCTGACTACAGCTCCCTCCATCCCGCTGCAGCTGGGGGGTTACCTCCTGTAGATACAATTAATGCGCAGCAAATCTCTCCCAGCAGCCAAAGGCACAGCTCTTACGAATGGATAAGGAAAACAGCACAAGCTAGCACTACTGGTAAGTGTATATTCAACTTTCAACCTGAGAAAGCATCTTCTGCTATCACTGATCTTACAAATAATTAACTTTACTTGAAGCACATAGGTTGGTGGGTCATTTGTGACATTTATTTAAACTACTGCTGTTTAATGCAGTTTTAACTAAATTTGCACTAGTTTCACTTTCGTCCCATAACGGCTTTTTATTGTGACTATAGAGGAATGGCTGTTGTGTTTAGACATGTCTGCATCTCATCCAAATCCAGGAATCTTAATTCTAACATTCTGTAAAGCATTTTGGACTAAAAACATGATACTCCTGAGAACATTATGGAACAATGAATGCAGCAACATTTAACAGTTACTTGCAAAAATACTGCATAATTATTTTGTGCTGCAAGGTAGACATCAATATAAAATTAGGTTGATTTTTTTATAAAACTTTACAGACTCTTCAATACTTTTAAAGAAAATTATGTGCCCTGATCCAACTGTAGCGATTATGCAATTTTCTGCTGTTGTTCCCGTGTCTTCTATTTTTTTTACCTAGATTTATTAGGTGAGAAGAAATATTTCTAGAGAAGTAATCTGACTCAAATGATCAGCGTAGACTATTTTGTTTGCAGACCATGTATGTCATCAGTCAAGCTTCCTTTTCATTTAGTTTCAAATCGGTTTTACGAATTTTTCTCATGTACTAGAATTTTGCAGCTTGCCACAATTACACAGTCAAAAATCCCTTTCTTGCAAGTGTCACTCCTTGATGCGCCTGTTTTGGTCCCAAGCTGCATGCCAGATGAACCTTTCGGTGTATATTCCCAAGGTGTAAATTGGGTGTAACAAGGTTTGCTAAATGTATTCTTAAGGTTAAAAGTAGTAAGTGTGTGCTAGAGAGCATCAAAGAAAATGCTCTAAAGAAAGAAGAGCAATTACAATTCGAGCAATCTTAGAAGACAGAAAATCAGCACTGCTGCTTGAGACACAATCTTCCTTCAAATGGTTATTACTCAAGAGCAAAATTAGTCTGGTAACTGTTTCTTAGTTACAAAGCAGATTCATGCCGTTTTCCCACTGTTACTAAATATTAAATGCCTAGTGAACATTAAGATATCACAGTGCCATCCTTCCACTTGGAGCCTCTACAAAGGTCTTCAAAGCTAGACAGACTTATAGTCTGTTTTTCCCCCCCCTTACGTATACTCAGATATGTCAGCAGTAACTTCATTAACATCATGGGAGATTTCCAGATGTAGAAGTGATGCAAGACTCGAGTGTAGACCAAATTCAACTGTGACTACTGAAAGTCAGTGAGGCAACCCTGTCTGTCACGTAGTTGCTAAATATTAAATGTGTTAGCATTCGTAAAGAATAAAATAGACTTAAAGATCTAAAATCTAGTTTTACGCTTTTTGCACAGACATGGAAGACCCTGCAAGGTTTCTCACACACACGCTCAACTTCATAAAATACATATGCAATTCAGAAAAGCAGTTCTGTGCTTAAATTCATCTCTAGTCTGAAAAGCACTTACAGAGAATTTACATACATGCCGAAATGCTTTATGAACAACACGGGACAGGTGAAACAGGGCTTGTCAATAGCTACAAGTCCTGAGGCTGTACATTCCTAGAGCCCAGTCCTTTGAACTGTTAAAAACAGTTCAGGACTTCACAGAATTGGGCTAAAGACATCAACCCAGCTTAAAAAAAGGGTTTGGGAGAGTAAAGCACCAACGCGGTGTTTTGCAAAACAAGAAAAGTACCATGTAGATTTGGATTTTCATTTGTGCTTTTAAAATAATATTAACTGTAAAAACTGGAAAAAACTAACACCAACACAAAAAGTTGTGAAAAATTAAAAGGAAACATAAGTAACGACAAGGCTAAAATTATGCACGTAACAGCTACATATTAACTTATCAATGTAAGAAAACTTACTTGATGCCCTTATACCCACTCCTTGCAAAAGACTTGCTCTCTGGTTTTCCTTATTGCCATAATATTATTCATGCTATCAAAGTAGCTACTGGGCCCTGTCCGTCAATATTATCACTGCTTAATACAGTTCATTGCTCTAAAATTTCAGAATTACACCCCTAAACTTTACAAATATATTTATATTATATAAATGTGTGTATGTCTAACTTCATTATGTGTGTATGTCTAACTTCATTAGTGGAGCCTACTCTCATTGATGTATGTGAGCAGCATGGAATAACAGAAACAAAACACATCTATTTAAATGAGGGAGCCTTTTGAAATACTGTCCTAAAGACAAGGAGATTTATTTTGGGGAAGGCGCCGTTAAGGGGAATTTTTTCCCCTCTATTTAGACTCTACTAAATACACTACATTCTGATTCAATATTTGTATTTAGCATTTTATACAAAAAATTAAATTGCAGGAAAAGTGAAATGAACATTCACCTGACCAAGTCAATTCTCAGGATGAAACAATATCACAAAGACAGAAGTGCTATGTCCTTTCAACAGATAAAATTTGATTTGAAATTATATATCCTCTTACTAAAAGACCGTAACTGTATATTCAGAACCAAACCATTTTTTTTTAATTTCGAATATACAGACATTGCAAACATATGAAGCAATAAGAATTTTTAAAACACCAAAACATCAGAAGTGGGCTTAACAAAGATATCTTCCCAGACAGGCTATCAAAACGAGAAAGAACATCTCCAGAATTCCTTACAGTCCGATCCTGCTTTTACTAAAAATCACTGACAAAATGCCCTATCAGCTTCAGTTACATAAGAGCAGACCTTCAGACCAATTCATTTCTAAAACCTATGTAATCGACAGTGTAAAATGTCTATTTCATGAGAGGAGTGAGTCTTCAAAGCATGAAACTTTCTGAAAAGAAGGTACCTAAACAAGCGCCTAGAAAACAGATTTTGTATCTTCGAAAACTTTATATGAAACTTCATCTGGGAGTGACCCTTCTCAGAAAGAGAACAGATTTAAGCGGACTAAACAAAAGGACATTATTTTGTATTGTGCAAGATCAGCCACCGTTTTTTCGTGTTTGTTTTAGGGTTTTTTTGTTTTTGTTTTGTTTTTTTTTTTAAGTATAATCAACATATTTTATGTCTTTCTTTAAACAAGCAGTGATGTACACGTAATTCAGATTACATCACAGCAGAAAGACAGCCAGAAAGCAAAATATAAAAGCAGGAAAAGAGGCCCAGCCTCTGCTCTAATGCTAATTTATTTTTCTTTGTAAACTAGTTGTGACATCTATTTTCCAGTGGCCTACATTGTCTGCAGTTTTGAGGCCTATCTGTCATACTGAGGCAACAGACCCTTTCAACACTTCACTTTGCTTTGATATGCAGTCTTGTCTCTTCCTTCTCTCTCTTTTCTTCAGGAGTTATATTGCCGGAAAGGGTGATGATTTTCACAGCAAATAAAGAGGCCTTCTCCTTGCTTTATTGTCTTCAGAAGAAATGCTCTGTGAATTTTATGACCAAGCGGAATGGGGAAAACTACTCCTTTTCTCCACCCCCTCAAATCATGGTTATATTTGCTGATTATAGTGAAGCCGGAATAACTCTGTTGAATTTTAACTTGTTTTCAAAGATTACCTTCTAAGCCTTCAGTTTACAAGGAACCTGAATATCTATACTATTGTTAACATTATAAATATCACTTAGAGCAAATATTTCAAGCAAACAATTTGTACCTTGAAAAAAGTAAACGTAGTTTGATGATCGTTTTAGCCCTGCAGATTTAGGCAGGAAAACCTTGTACACTAGAAGTCAAGGTGGCACAGGATTTGGGAAAGCATCCTTAATGATGCGTATTTCAAAGTGTCTTAAGCTATGTCTACCTCTAGCCTTTGGATAAAAATATCAGCGTCTATCCTCAGTGTTGGTCCAAAATTAAAGATTTTGGAGGAGAGAGGACTGAGGGAAAAAATATTCCTTCATCTATTTCTGTCCTTTTTCCCTCTGCTAAGATGAAAGAGTCTGACATTTGTTTAGGGCTTGTAAATTCCAAACCAATTGGCCTGTGTTTCTGAATGTGAAAGGGGTTCTTGATAAGATCTCCTTGTCGCTCCTTTGTGTGGCGTGTGCTTCATCTTAACACCTCAATGGATTTTAGGGAACCACTTTAAAGGAGTCTTTGTCCTACAGTTTGTCCCAGAAAACTCACATCAAAAAAAACCTGGGAAGATCAGAAGAAAAAGGAAAACTATCTAGTTGGCTGTTGAAAGTGCAAGGTAGAACAAATAAGTTGAAAAGTGATCTCTCTGTATTATTGTTACATGAAGAATTGTTTTTAAAAGTCTATGAAATGAGGGATATCATCTAAACATCAAGTACTGCTTAACAGTATTTAGCCAATACATCTAAGAATATTTCTTTTATACATTAGAGAGGATGATGCTGAAATCATTCATTTACCAGTATTTTATTGCCTCATCTTACAAATTGCCAAGTGTCTTCAACTCCGAGAAGGCAGCTCAGCACACAGAGAACCCCCAGTAATCCCTCTAAAGGCACTCAGCATCTTGCAAGACTGGACCTTTTTGAAAAAATAAATTCAAATTATAATCGAACTTATAAGCACGTCCTATGGCCACATAAGAAAGCGAATGCATTTGTAGTAGGACATTTCTTTGTCTTACAGAGGTGATTTTTAAAAACTCAAGTAAAGAATTAGGACACGATACACCTAAACAAATTGTGACTGAACTTCAGTCTCGAAATCCTGTGGTTTTGTGCCTACAAATACATGGAAGTCACTACAATGAGCACTGAAATGAAACCCCTTTGAGATCAAATATAGCCAGCAACAATTATGTACTGCTATGAATTATTTAAGATGCTTCAGAGTATTTTCCATTTAAGAGCTTTACATTTAAATGTATGTTTACAGAGACGGAGATAAAGAGGTAAAGACAGTTATGATAACCAATACTCACTCACTCACCCTGCACCTCATATTCCTTTCCTGTAACACAGAAAACAATCCCATGCAAGTACTCTGTAGTTGAATTAATGTCTGTAAAATGTTTGAGATGTTTGAAAGAAAGATGCTAATCAAATTCAACATTAATAACATTTCTTTCTTAAACAGGTAAAACAAGAACAAAAGAAAAGTACCGAGTTGTTTACACAGATCATCAGAGACTAGAATTAGAGAAGGAATTTCACTGCAACAGATACATTACAATAAGGAGAAAGTCAGAACTTGCAGCGAACCTGGGACTATCTGAAAGACAGGTACACAGAGACTATCCGTCATTCGTACACACCCATCCACCAGATGCTGTTACTGCCAGGGGACATGAGCAGCACCCACGTTCTGGATCCAAAAGCAGTACAAAGGCAACATGACAGAGTTTCTGAGTGTATATGACACACAGAACACACAACACAAATACAAGTTAATACACAGGCTAATTTGACAGAAACCTCCAATTATGGGTAACTAAACACTAGGAATTTGTTTATACTAGAAAAAGTATTTCTTACATCCGTAACAGCTTACTAGACAGCAAGAATTTAAACAGTTCAGCTTAACATTATCTTAGCAATATTCTCCTTAGTTCTTGCAAACACAAAATAGTGGGCAGAAAAAAACCAAAGCGTTGGACACATTTCAGCTGTAAGCCAGGAAAATAAAAACTCAGCATTCAAAGAGCAATCAAACAAGATATCTATGTATTTTTTGTTACAAATTTATTGCCACTGTTTCCACAGGCCCCGTTCTTCCTCAGTCAGTTGGATTTCAGCACGTTTTAAGGAGCTTTTACAGCCTTTGCTTTTCAAGTCAGGATTTCTTTTTGCTATTATGTTCACAGGTACTTCACCTGTAGTAGTACTTCACATGCACTATACACAGCATGCTTTAGGCTATAAAATTTGATGCCAACTTTTTATGCCTGTTATACACATAACCAAGACCATCCTTTCAGGAAATTTTCAAGTGCATACTTAGATGCATTGTTTCTTTGGAAAGCAGCTCTGCATTCATTCATATCTAGCACATATTTAAGCTCTGTCCTGAATAGAAGCAGTATCCTGAGCAGGGGCCCAGGTATCTTAGCTATATCCATACAAAGACTAGAGGAATTTGAGATAAAGAATTTCCTAAAATCCCTGTGTTGGAGAGCACACTTACGAAGCCCAGCTCTGCAGTCTGCAAATACAGTAACTGGAATCTAACCCTCCTTACACAACAGCATTGCAATGGTTCTGCTACAGTTGGAGGATCAGGGAAGATTTGGCGATACTGAATAAGACATCTCATACCTTAGCAACCAGATTTATTGCCCCCAGGTAAATTTAAACAAGAGATCTTTCTTTAAAGAATTTTACAGCCTTTTGTTCTTTCTGAATATACACATTCAGTTCTCTAAAATACTCTCCTCTTTCAGTGGGCTCCTCTGCTTCTGCATTCAATCTGTGCAAGAACGTGGAATAGAGAGGGACCAACTGAGGCTGGAAGTGTATGGAAGTGTAAGGATGCATAGATAAGCAACGGTATTTTAGGATCAAGCACTGGATTTTTATAAATATATTGTAGTGCAGGGATGTTCAATCCAGACCCAAATAGTACACTCTGCAGACTGTAAGTGGCCCCAGAAAGTAATTATGAAAAACAAGTCTGGTGGACTAAAGTTTGTTATACAGTAGGATATAGCTGCATTGGAAAATTTTCAAAGAACTGTAGTTATAAAAGATTCAAAACCTCTACCTTAATGTTATGCAACGCTGGCGGATTTAGAACACAGACGTGCCTGGAGTAACCAGTGATACCGCATAAAATCAGCAGTTTCCTTTTACATAGCTGTTGCTGTTAAACCCATCCAATTTTTGACTGGTAAATTTCCTTTAAGTACAGCATAGACAAAATACATAATCTATCTGCATTTCTACAGGACTCACGACAGTCAAAGCTAAATGCTGCTTACTGTCATTACCAGTAAGGTAATAAAAAAATAACTTGAAAATAATAATAAGATTTTTAATACAAAGCAACGGTATGACTTTATATCGTCTTGTATTCAACACACTTTAAAAGACATAACAAAAACTGTAAAGTAAGAACAAAAAATTAATGATAAGGAAAAGACAAACAGTGTGTTCTATTCATTCACACCTCCAAATAAGGAAAGAACATATAGATACATAAACTAAAAATAGATTTCAAACAGAGAGTCTTTACACATGCACAATTAGCCTGGAAATTTACTGTCATTAAGTAATACTGATATATCTATTTATACACATGACATAGTACATATGCATCTGTAAAATACATATGTATAGTCCAGTAACAAAAAAATTCAAAACTTTTAAAATACATAAGCATATATGTACACACAAAAATCACAATATAAATGAAGAAAAAGGAGCCCTCACTACTTGAGGATTTGAATTAATCTGTAACGTAGATGATAAAGAAATCTTCAAAATTATTCCATAATTGTATCTTCCTAAACTATGACACACGCTACTGTCAAAGCTTAGATGATGAACTAGGTGGACCCTGAGTCTAAATGAGCAAGTTGATTCCTATGTTCCTAAATATAACACAGCAAGTTCACTTTACACCAGGTATGAGAAAAGAAAGTAATTTTCTATTGATTATGATGCACTGATTATTAACATATCTATATTTTCATTGCTATTATTACTGTAAAAAGTTGACCGCTACTTTGAATTAATCAAATATCATTTACAACACTGCAGGTGAAAATCTGGTTCCAGAATCGCCGAGCAAAAGAAAGAAAAATTATCAAGAAGAAAATATCTCAGTTTGATGGGAGTGGAGGCTCAGCTCAGAGTGACTCTGGTTCACTCAGTCCAAATGAAATATCTAGTTCACTGTTCCCACCTCCACATGGAATAAATGGATTACAGCCTAATGACATTCATCAAGTCATAGTTTCACAATGAACGGAGCGGGTGGTGGAGGGAAAAGAGAAAAAGCAAGAATGGATTTCCCCACCACCCCTTGCCCCCTTGAAAACTCAACTTTGCAAAGGACATTCTCATTTAACTGTCTTCAGAGTGCAGATTTATAAGAACAGGATCTGGGACTATTAACAAAATATTTTAATTATTGCAGAAATCTCAGGGAACTTGCGCTGCTAAGATTCATCACTCAAAATCTTTGAGTAGGAGGTAATTGGCTTCAGTCACTGACACAAAGAATGATACAACTGAAGATTCAACTGAACGTAGTTCTAGTCTGATCATATATATACACACAGAAAACTAAGCAAACTGATTATAAAATAGAATACTATTGCATAAAATATAAGATGCTGATTGTATTTGGTTTGTTATGTTTTATATAATTAGAGTAAACCGTAGATGTTAATAAATAATCACACTTAAGTGTACTGAAAAAATGCTACTTTTTGAAAACAATAGAAATATTTAAAACACTTTTAAACACTCAAGAAACATAACAATGTTGCTATACCAACATATTGCATTTAATTAAATAAAACAAAACTTCTCTCCCTCATGTAATTGTATTCAAGCATGACAATCTCCTAAGCAACAGTTACAGATATAATATCATACCAAATCTGCCAAGGTTTCTTCAATCGTAAGAAATGCAGCCATTTGTCATGCACATTAGCAAATGCCAAATAGTTTGGAAGATAAAAGTATTACTTCAATCTTCAGTGAATGGCCTTCATATTGCTCAAAACTAGGAGCATAAATGTAACAGAAACAGAACTGTTACTACTAGCCAACCACCAAAAAGCAAATAAAGAATTTGTTTAATGTCTCTAAACCCTTTAAGTGAAATAGCAGTCTTGGGGCACTGATTTTATACATGACACTTCTTTCAGGCTAGAAATACCCCAAAGTAGCTGACACTGTATTTCGAAGGTATTATGAAGCAGCTTAGCATTCACAAAGTCACAGCAAGCATGTAACAAAAGAACTGTTCACTCCATGTGTCCCCCTGAAAGAGCACAAATTAAGGATAAATGTGCTCACAGTGTGGTTAGCTTTAATTACTGGTCCATGTTGGCAGGTGAGAAGGTAGCAATGTTATGTGGAAGACAACTGATGAGTCTGGGAAAAATAGAAAGAAAACCAAAAGCACTAAAAAAAAAATCCCCAAACCCTCCAGTAGTACTATTCATTGGAATTTCATAGTATGAGCTTTTTGATAGCATACACATAAGTCCTCTATTGGAAAATTTTAATATTATTGAAAATGTCATCAGGAGCAAAGATAATAAAATGGGAAAACAGAAAAAAACAAATGGAAAACACCATTATACGGTATATAAAAAGTCATGCATCACTTCAACATCATCAAACTCGTCTCAGGAACAGCAGATCCAAGTCTGCTTTTCTTAGTGTCAATGAGCATTGATGATGCATTGAGCAACATGGACAGAACTTGTCAAATCATTCATTGTCTGGATTCAATAAATTAGATAACTCAAATTTGAAGATGTGCCTCACTGTGTTCCAATTATTTAAAAACAGCTGTTAGAGTAAGTTCTTGAAAGTAATTCTATTAGGAGTCACAAGGGTAACACTCTTCAAAACTAAATACTAAATTATAAAATTGTAGACATAAATGTCTGAAGCTAAACTAGGAAGCAAATCTGTAACACAGGATAAGATCTTACTGATTATAAGCATTTTGTGGGTGGTTCTCCAACATATTGCTAATACTCTCTTATTCATATGGTTAAAATAAATAGGCATATCTTAAGGGAAACAAGCTGTAAACAGAAAATCTTCTGTATATAAATATTTATAAAACTCAGCCCTATGAGAAACCGAGACTACATCTGCACGGCTTTAATTCAGGATCTTCTAAAACTGCTCACTGTGATGTGATTGCATGGACATTTTAGAAGACAGAGCAGCATGTTATAGAACAGGCACACAAACAGATCTTCTTCTGTTTCTATTAATAGAAGTATACATGCTAGCAGACAGCAGGACACATACATGCTGCTCTGCTTTTCATTCAAACAACTCCATACATGTCCTCTGTAACGGATTTGGGAGAGGAGTTTTTCCCAGTTCCACTAGCCTCTCTATCTGTGTTGTCCTTTTACACATGGAGGATGTAGAAGACAAAATAACTTCCAAAGAAACTCATGAAGAAAGAAGCTCTAATACTTCAGACATACAAGAAAAAAGGGAGGACCACCTTGACCTTGCTACCCAAATCTCAAGGCATCAGAAGGCCCACCTCTATGGAAGAGTAGGCAATGGCACTTGTGAAGATTATCGGCGACAGAGAAATGGAGAGCAAGAGAAAACTTATTTCTAGTTTTGAGATTTTTTTTTTCTGCGATCAGTTTTCAAATCAACATGGAAAAATGGCAAGCAAAGAGCTATAACATACATCTTTCAGTATATTTCTATGCTAGAAATACATGGCTTAACTTAAAATTTATCTTTCCTTTTAACTTACGTCAAAACTGAAATAAAAACCTTACGTGGTTATTTACCAGGTTCGCATTCAACATACTCAAAATGGTCATCTTGCAGCTTGTAAACAAGCTCCAGTCTATCTCTTTGCATTGCCAGAGTCAGGAAACACCATGCTGTTCTGACAAACTGAGCAGAAGAGCCACTGAAGCTTCAGAACAACCACTGTTCATACAGGAAACATTTTACATGAGACTACTAGATGTCAAATGGGAGTTTGAATGGGATACAAAGCAATGACGTTTAAAATCAGTCCTGTCAATAAGAACTGTTTTCCTTTTTCATGATCTTCATCCTGAATTTTTTCCATCAGGTCTATTTTAGATGTAGTCAAAGAATAAGTTAATAAATATTTGAGGGACACAGTCTGTTTCATGCACTAGACAATGATCTCTAAGCCTAAAAACTGTATCGGATTATCTTCTATGTCTACAGCCAAGTCAAACAAGAAGTTATTCCCCCAATCTTGTTTTGTGCATAACTACCCCCCATCCAGATCACAATCATAGAATGGTTTGGGTTGGAAGCGATCTTAAAACTCATCTGGTTCCAACCCCCCTGCCATGAGCAGGGACATCTTCCACTAATGTCCCTTTAAATGTAAGTGTAGTGGCACAGCTGTTTCTCAAAATAATCTCAGGAAAAAAACGTTATTCAATTCTTTTAGACTAAATGGGATCATTTTTAGTAAACTGGACTAGAGAGCAATTAAATATGCAGTCATATTACCAGGAGGATGGTAAGCCATAAAGAGGGAAAAACAACAACCAGCTAAAAGAAGAAAAATCTTATTCTGTCAGGGTTTGGACACCGTATCTGACTGTAGCCTGCACCATTTTTTTTGCCAGAAAACATCATCCCAAACCAAAATACCATTCAGAACTACATGCTGACACATTTTAATGGCCCATTAAAGACTACACAACAGCCTGATAGGAGTCCACCCTATATTCATGTTCTGCCAAGACCAGCATGGGAACACGAGGATCAGGATATGCAGTTGGGTGGAGGCAACACAGCCATTACAAAGTCCCTACATCACTCTGATTTTCTGGGCAGCTGTGTTTGACTCTTCCACATTGCTTATGTAAAGGAAAAGCTTCAGAAGACGTGATCGAGCACTTGTATTTAATTTTTGTATTTATGTGGGTGAGAAGAAACACTAAAGGCTATAAATAACATTTTACAATATTTATCTTCCCTCCTTTGAAGACTTCTCCAGGGATTTTAATTAGAATCTCCCTCAGCACCAATAGGCAATTAAAATAATAATAAATCAAACACGATCCTTCTCACCCAGTGGGTATTTCCCCCAAGCTCTCTCAGTTTCCTGTCTTTTTCACTTCATGTAAATAGAAAACCATCACACTGTTTCAATTCAGCTGTTTGATTGGTATTTTGAGTTTGCCAAGTAGTGAGCCACTTTAACACCATGCTGATATCAAAAGAAAATTCTGCATCACGCAACTGTCTAATTCCAGCAGCCAGCAAATCCCTTCTGACATTTATTCGAATCATCTTTATTCTTACGAGAACACTGCAGAGGTGCCAAAGCTTTGGGAACAATTACTTTTCTCAGTCCCACTATCTATAAATACTTAATCAAGAAGGAACACTTTACCACACACTGTTCATGCTGAGACTCAATGTAGCAGCACAGAGATTTGGCTTCATTAGCTAACTTCTAAAGATTGATCTGTGGGAGAAAATAAAGGAAATTACAGATTTATCTGTAGTTACAGTAACGACAGATAGTTTAGACTAGAAATTGGATAGGACTCTATTACAAGATACTTGAAAAAAATAATAATTTACAGAGAAGAGTGCATAATTTAAACCCCTAACTGGCTGCTTGTAGTACTAATACAGGTCAAATAAAAACCTGGATCAGAAACTTCACAACTTCTTGAAACTACGATTACATTTGAAAAGTCATCTACCTCCACATTAGGCATTTTCACTATAAACAGCAGAGCTGCATGCCCCTGCACAAAGCCAAAAACCTTCTAGACATTACAAAATACCTGTATCACAAAAAGAGTTTTGTTAAACCTCTTGCATCACTCTTGCCTTATGTCAAAAAAATGAACATATCAAAATTTGTCTAATGAATTACTATTTCTATGTCATTTCTATTACATTTTTTCATTTCTATTACATTATTACATTCTATTACATTTCTATTACATTTCTATTTTGAAACAAAGGAATGTGAACTGCAATGAGATGATGGATGCACCTGGAAAGGGAAAACAAGTTCTGCTAAATGCAACAAACCAACCTACAGAAATTACCAGGGTCTTTTTCTCATAACAAATTCCACAGTATTAAACAGGATTACCAACACGTTGGTTACAGTTGCCAGTCAAAAGTTATGCTTTTATTTACCAGAGAGGAAACTAGTAAGTAATGCCAACATTTTAGGAGTTATTTCAAATAAGCCTCAGGTACTTCTCAAACAATCTTAAAATGTGTGGTTAACATTATTTTTAAAAGAAAATGTTATTTGCATTGAAGAAATTATTTTTATTATTCCATGGATGCGCTGAGCACTAATCATCCTACTGAAATTATCTGCAGTATATGGTATCACGACGTTTTGGTAAAGCTTTCATAATTTGAGAATGAAAAACACTATCTCAGGTGAACAGCTGAGCAGAGGGCTGAATGGGGCTGAATGGCCGTGTTGTAATCATGGATCTGAAACCCTTTATTAGCTGGTGCTTCTCATGTGCAATTGAGGTTAAAAATGTTTGAAGTGCCCATCAACTCTTATCAACTTAATACTTTGATCCATTAACTGAAACTCTAGAGAGTCTGACATCCTTCCTATTGCCCCAGATATCAAAAGTAGAGGAAATAAAATATGAAACGTTAAAATTAGTGAAAATTTAGAATACTGCCTATGGATACCTCAGAAAGAGATGGGATACAGAACAACAGGTCAGTAAAAATCTCAACATTTCACATGGTTGTTTTCTACAGGTTACAGGATTCCTCTCTGAAACCCCTTACCAATGCCAGTTTTCATGCAGCCAGTGCCACTTTCTCGGAATGAGGCATAGTTCTGCCTCAAGACATTGGCAAGAACATGCACAATTTTTGCAGCATGTATTTGGCATGCTCCCACCTGATAGCTATAGCTCTGAAAGCCAAACACGGCAGCACCTAACGAGGCTGGCTACAGTAACCAGAGCAGCAACACACACATCTTCCCCATCTCACTGTATGGCTGAACTAAGAGGCAACAAGAACATACTGAAGATGAGAAGGACGAACACAAATTCAGACACACGCCTCACACGAGCATCTTCAATTTTCAGTGTCTGACACCATTTCAACCTGAGTGATGCAGTCATGCAGGCCTCCCAAATTTCATTATGCATCAGATGCTAGTAAAGGGAACAGTGCAGCTTCTCAAGGTTTCTCCCCCACTAAACCCGTATCTTTTTTCATGGAATAACTTCAGACTCCTTTCTCAGCTTGGGAAACGAGCTTGTATTAGTGGCAAAACAATACTTCAGCAATATTTTGGAATTCCAAAAAGGCTAAAAAAATTTTCACAGAGATCTGGGCAGAGCTTTCCAGTACTGCACAGCTGGTTCATCAACAGAAGTATTACTTTATCAGTTCAGAAGCACAGGTCTCCCAATTGCATTAGTGAAAGTCAGGAATCACACCACTCCTGCAATAAGGCTCAGAATTGATAAATCAAAAGAAATTCAGCATCTTCTATCAGCTATCACGTTGTTTAAAAATGTTACTGGAAAAAATGTTATGAGGTTTTCTGTGGTAAAGATCATAAAAACATACTTGAAGTCACTTTCTGCGCCTCAAAACTCAGTATGTTATTAGAACCATCCTAAGCTCAGTTACTGGTAAACTTATTTCCATGTTAAAAAAACTCAGCAGTTAAGCATGCATCACTATGTTCAGGAATAAACCTGCCCTAGGTCTGAAGCAAAAAGGCAACCTAGTAAAATTGTGGTTTGTAGTAAGGCTCATACGCTGTGCACTGGCAGAGTTAGAAGCAGTTGGATACAAAAGACATTTTTAAAACTGGGTATGCAAGGAGAAACTGAAACAGAAGAAAACAATTCAGAACTTAGATTATAAGTACCAAGAGAGAAGCATTCTGGACAGAGGAATAACCACTGCCACTGGGCAGGCATTCGGCAGTGACTCGCTGTACTGAAGCGAAGAGCAAGACCACATACTCACAGGGCAGCTGGCAGCTTGCAGGCTCTAAGGGGAAGAAGGCTGCCTGACAACGTGATGCTATGATACAGCATTCAGTTTGGTTTTTAAGGGCTCTCAGCCTCCAGTAAACAAAACACACTCTGGCTTTTTGGCATAAACCTGTATGTAGTCACTGACCTCAGTCTTCTTGACATCTAGTTCATCATCCACATCCAATGCAAAACACACCTTTATGTTCAGCGGTGTGTAAAAATCCTGTGCAGCCCCTCATACCACAGAGGGATGGCTGGAGCACAGCTAGACTGCTGGTCGTATGTTTAATACACTCGCAGAGCATTTTCAGGCTTTTTTTTCACGCAGTTCTGTACGCATTCTGATACAGAGTTACTGCTTACTGCCACGGCAAATTCTTCAAACATGATGCGAGTTCTGTGCTCACATAGGACCAGTTACTGCATCTTCCTCTCTTGGAAGAAGAGAAAGTGCAAAAATCAGTTTGGAAGGCAATGTAAGTCACCAGCAGCCTAGCACATGCAGGGCAGCCAAGGAAACAGAAAGCTTAACTGAAACAGGTTTGAAGGCAGCACTGAAAGAAAGCGGTTGTTCGCCAAAACACTACTAAGCAAAGCCACAGATGTTCTGACATTACCGCAGCTTAACTTGCTCCTGTGTCAAGTTAATCCTGATTCCAACAGACCTAAGTTTTCCAAAGCTACTCATGTGCCACACAGGTGGAAAAAAGTTCTGATGAAAACTGCTCTTTTGACATCACGCAATGATTTTACACCAATGGGAATAATTTGTACCAAAAGACACCTCGTTACTAACCACCACATCCCACCAGCTAATTTTTTCTACAAGTTTTATTTCAATCTTTCCAGAACTTTTCACATTAGGAACTGAAGAAACAAGCTGACCAGGCAAAAGAATAAACCCACCAAAAAAGCCTCCCCTACACTCCCCTCTTCCCCCACCCACAAAAAACTCTCAAAAAGTAGTATTCTCAGCTTGTATAAACTGACTCAGGAAGGGGATACCTCACAAGTGAGGTCCAATACCGTTTATTCTCTCTTCTCCAAAAAAGAGAATACTTCTTCCAAAACTGAGGCATTCGCATCTCCAGTGAGGCCCTGAAGTTCTGAGTCCCCTCCAGCTCTTGAGCCGATGCAGATCAAGAAACCTGACAGTTCGTCCACCAGCCATAAAATACATTCTCCAAACTCCAAGAGTATATTACTGTTATCCAACAACCTCTTCCTTTGTTGAAACACCTAAGTGTCTGAAATGAGCGAATTACAACAGCCAACATGACGTCTCTTGTTGGATATTCTTTCTTCTGAATAATGATTGTGTGGTGGAGATTTATACGGAACAAAGAATGGAAAAATAAATTAGAAGGAGATTCAGTATCTCTCAGGCCCACATCACCATTCACTTCCACTTTCTCTCAATAGTGCTTTTATTTAATACTGTGCTTTGTTTTAAACCCTATTTTTCCTGCACTCTTTTTTCATGTTTCATGATCTACATAAGAACACTTTTTATATCAAGAAAGGAAGCGGTTTGTGTGGAACAACATTGCCAGAGACCACAATTTCTCCACAAATCATTCAGGTTTTATGACATAATTGTTTCATCTAATAAATGGCATCCTAAAAATATACTGTAAATGAGGCATCAAATACTTCCTCCTGTGAAGCCATAAAGTCTGATAAATCACACTGAAAAAATTCCCTATAGTATTTGCATCTGGAACTTAATACTAAGCAGGCATTCTTCAAATACAGATATGGCTTACAAAAGGTATTTTTCTAAAATTGTCTATTTTTACTCCAGATAGTCATAATTCCTGCTAGGAGAGAACCCACACAAAAAGACAAAAAGTCTACTGAAACTTCAGCTGAACTTTAACTTCAACCTATTAATCAAAAAGGGTAAGATGTTAAATATGAAGCTAGTATAGCAAAGTATCTTTTTCAATTAAAGAGACTTCCTTTCTTGTTTTTTAATACCTCAGACAGTCATTATAAAGAAGTCATGCAGTATACTGTGCCAAAACTCTACACTCCACTTTATGCTTCAGTTCAGGAAATTATTTTACCACCTGTTTGAGCGCCTACCAGAATTCATGCCTTAATTCCACTAAATGCTCACTTCTGTCACAATGTCCATTTAAATGTCTGTAACATTAGCTTATTTATTAAATTACAACACAAGTTGCATTAAAATGTAGGCTTTTCAATTAAACATGCATGATACCGCTGCTGGATCTCTCACTGTTCGCCATACCTCTCCCTACCACCTGCATCTCATCGTTGTCACACCCAATGTTAAAGCTGTAAATCTTCGCAGGCAAGTACACGGTTTCTTTATTTCACTTCATAGGACGCGTACTGCTTGTCTCTCATTTTGTTTCATCCTTCTCAAAGTTTCAACAGCTTTTTATTTGAACAAAACTGAACACATGCATGGAACATGAAGCGGGCTTGGCTTTATAGCATTCAAGGCAGGTCCTAAGCACTTTAAAAAAACAAATCTATCACAAATCCTCTTAGAAAGCTTGATCCACCTCCCAAGTCAGTGCAGAAGCACTTATCCCAGTGAAAGCTGGATCATGCCAGTAGGACAGAGTGTCATGACCACGTGAAAGCCCAGGCTACACCCCTCACAAGTTGCCTCTTTCAGTCTCGTTTATTCACATAAGCAGGCTGTGGACTGTTCCTTAGCCACTTGTAATTGTCCATTCCCCTGGTTTACCTTTCTCCCTTACGTATCCAACTGTTATGCAGAGCAATATGCATAAATTGCCAGACAAGGTTGAAATAGGGTTAACTCCCTCACCCTCCCTAGCTCTGTGCAGCACGAAGCCAGTTCTGCCAAAAGACAGTGAGACATCTCAGTGGCAAACTTTGTCACCCTGCTATTCCAAATTATTTGGAATCATGTTGAACAGCACTTAAGGCTGTTGGCCTTCATTAGTTATCTCTCCCTGTTACGAGGACTGTCTTTACCATTATCTTTTGTTTGTTATCATTTAACTGGTCATTAAGCTATTCTTCATTTCAAAACAGATTAGTTCCAGCAGTGAGACATTTTTATGGAAAAATACTCTGAAATCCAAACACTTTCTATCAATGGAATCACCATCAGTGTCATTTTAGTTTCATAACAACACATGCATCCTTTAGCAGGCAGGGACAGGATCTCTCAATTCATAACATTACAGAGATGCTTTTACAAGTGGTCAAGAAATTTTTGCTATTTCTTTCAACATTAAGAAATCCTTGCTACTGATGTACTCACAGTTCCATTAATGGCAGTATTGCAACGCTATAGTCTAGACAAAATGGTGATGATAATCAAGAAGTACAGATACCAATAGTTAGTTAAACACAGAAAAAGGTGCCAAATATCTTTACAACCATGCCTTAATCTATTTAAGACAACGCATTTAACATCTATCTGGGTAGGAGTTCGAAACCCTACCTGTGACTCCAATTATTCCTCCTTGTAAAAACTCATTTGTCAGCTTAAAATATTCTAAGAAATAGAAATACACCAGCAAGGTTTATGAAAATCAGTGGTCATGCAAAGCTTTGAGAAAACAAGAAGTAGTGCAGCACTGTGAAGAAGATAAAGCAATTACGTTTTCGCTATTTTATTTAGCATTCTGCAGGGACAGTGCTGGAAAATGCTTCCATAATAAACTAAGAACATGTTCCATGGACTGCTCTGAAATAGGCCCAGAGATGTCTGACTTCTGCTCAGCAACAGCACACAGCCTTGAGCCCAAGAGCTTGCGCTTAGCTCCTTCTCATAGCAAATGCTGGCCAAAAGGACAGCAGGTTACATCCCCTGTAGTTTTATTTTAAATATAATTACTTTTCTCATGGGCAGTTCACCAAAGCTGCCAAGAACTAACATAATCTCAACTAAATATTGAAGTCTACAATATAAATGCATGGCATCAGACCTATCATTTCTTAAGTGTTCTCAGTTATAAAGTTTTATCTTTTCGACTTCCACACCAGTTAAAGCAGACATCCTGAATTATAACTAAGAGTAAAATAAAGGCCAGTACCTTATTATTAACCCCATATATAACTTTATTTCAGTGGTTTCAAGACTTTCTTTCCATGGGTTATGAATGGCAATCATGTATATAAAAATGAAGATGAGTGGAAAAAAAAATTAGATACTCAGTTATAGAATTATTTTCACTTTTTTTACATGTTTCTAAATAGGGCATCTTTTTACCTTTTGGCCAATGACAGTGAGATATATTCTGTCCCACGCTTACTTTCTCTGCAATTTATCGACAATATTCACTACTAAACAAGAAAAAAATATTTTGTCAAAAATGGGAGAAAAGAGAACACGTATTTTAATTCCATTTTATGACCAACATCTTGTCCCTTAGTGGTGATTTTTTTCCCAAGTCATTAGAGAGTAATTTACCTGCAACTCCACAAAAGATGGATAACGTGCTGAAGTAAGAGTACATGGCACCAATAAAACCGTAGCTCACACAATTTTTCTTTTGGAAGCAGCAAAAACTTTCACAATCAAGTCATCGGCATTTTGCTGCAGTCTAGAAAGTCCTGAAAAACAGCAAAGATGATTTATGAGGAAAGTCTTGTCCTAAAAACACCAGACATGGATGAAGACCCATTCTTCCTACTTTCAGAGGCAGTGAGCTCCCTTCCTCACAGTAGCTGTGGGCCAGGAATTCAGAGCTGGCCACGTACCAGACCCAACACATCCCTTTATGGCAGCTACGCTAATATTAAAAAGAAAAACCAAAGAACCCACAAACCCTCTTGGAATTTTAATTCCGATCCAAATACTGCAATTATGATCATCAATACTTTTTTGGCTTACATTCCACTTGCAGTAGGTGACTTGTGAAGTGCTTAAACTTACCTCAGTAGTAATTTACACCTGTACGGGGGCAGGGGGGTGGGGGCAGGGCATTCCTCTGCTCTCAACCATTCTGAAAGATTTTTCTTCCCCAATGTTAGTAGTCCTCCCACGTGGATTTTCTTTAACCACCCCATCACCCTGCAAAGAACTCAACTCCATTCCCCAACCGACCAACAAAACCCCAGGCAACCATCCCAAAGCTTCGGGAAAACTCAGCAGCCAGCAGCCCCGTGGTGAAGGCCACCCCCTCCTCCCTCACCTCCACCTCGGCCACCTCGCGAGCTGCGCGAGTAAAACCCACGCAAACGGGCGACGAAAAAAGGCGAGGGGCAGAGAGGAAAGCATCCACCCGGCTGTTTATTAAAAACGCCACAGAACCGCACCCGGGAAAGGGGTAAAACCGAGAGG